TGGGTGCACTGGTCTGTTTCTAACTGTTGTGTATGGTTTTGATGGTGTGTTTATGTTGTGTTTTTTCATTGGTGCTGTTATTTTTTCTGTTATGCCTTTGATGTATGGTAGGGTTATCACTGGTTTTGGTTCTTGTCTTTCTAGGTTTCTGGTTCTTTGCTTTGGTTGTTCTTTTTCTTTCTGTTGTTGTTTGTTGTTTTCCTTTGTTTAATGCCCATGTCGGGTATCTGCAGGTCTTTAAAGCATGTTGTATGTGTTTGTCCTCTTGCTTACAGTCTCTTTCTTCTGTTATCATGTTTGCTCGGTGATATAATGTTCTGATTACTGACATTTTGTGTATGGTAGGGTGACCATACACCCTACCATACACAAAATGTCAGTAATCCATATTTTTCTCTGGATTAAGCCAACAGGACTCCCTCAGCTGACGTCACTTGGTTTGGCAAAAAAAAATCTTTCTTACAAAAATGACTCTAAAAGCCAAAATAATTTATGTATGTGTAAATAAAATTTTAAAACAAGTTTCTATAATGTTTCTGTAAATATTGGTTCATGGGAGTCTCTAACCTGCAATTTGCTCTTTAACCTTTATTTAAATGTAATTTTCCTCTTTTTGTTGTGTTGTTGCTGTTTTTGTTTGATTGGTGTTTGCTGATGTACAGCACTTTATGTAATCTTTGTATTGTATTTAAATGTGCTTTATACATAAACTTGACATTGAAGTCAAATGGTCAACATGACCTCTGATAAGTGAATAAAACACAGTTTCACTCTCTTACTGAACTTCAAAGTGTAGAATACAAAAACAATTAGTATGTTTATGCACCTGGCTGGAGCCAAGGCACCATCAAACACTTTGTAGTTTGATGTTGTCTGGTAATTTAAATTATGTGACAGCCAAGGAGCAAGATGAAGAGGCGTCTCTCTGGAATTAGTTCTGGGTCAGATCCTGCAGCCCGAAACACTAAAGGAAACTCAGGAAAGTGATGTCTGATTGTAGACCTTATGATGGAGTCAGATTATTGTGTTTGTTCTACTTCTGATATAATTTATTGCATGTGACAGAGACTCCCTGGAGCTCCTCTTTCAAACACTGTAGTCACCGCAAAAACTGCAGACGCACACATGCAACAATCAGGAGCCCAATATATAGTCTTACCTAGGCTTGGGCGTTATCCAAATTTTATTACCATTTAGCTTCCTCCACATTTTACTAAAGTGTAGAGCTGTAGCGAAGTCTCAATGACGTCGACGGCTCGATTCTAAAAATTCGTCGACGTCACATCCAGTAGCCGACGCACCACGCCCACTTGTTGCATCCCCAGGAGTTTGTAAATAGTGGAGGAATCTGCCTGTTTTTCCTCTAGTTCGCCCTCTTCTCCGCCGAATACCGAAGACCCGGAACAATGTCCGTCCGCTACTAGATTTCTTTCCTGTTTTGCCCACCTTTGCCTCCCGGCAACGGACAACAACTTCCGTCAAATGCGCTGCTTCGTCTCTATCGCAGATGTAGAAAATCACCGGGAGCGTTTCTCCCTTCATAAAGGAGTTTCTTTCAGACATTAGGATAGGGATGCACCGATGGATCGGCATTTGATCGTAATCGGCCGATAACGCCCCGATCGGTTTTGATCGGAGTTTTCAAAATAGATCAAAGCAAACCGATCAGGTAGGGTTGTCACAGTAACCAGTGTAGCGGTATACCCCGGTAAAAAAAAAAAGTTGACAATAATAATAACCGTCTTGTTTTAAAAAAAAAACTATTATCTTGGTGGGTTTACCGCAGCTGCGGTGTAGGCGCGGTGACCCTTACCAGCCACCGTATCATCTGTTGAAGTTGCTGGCGGCACATGCACGCTTTGCTGTTTACAACCAAAACTTTCTTGAAGCTAAAGCTGAAATAATGGCCAAAGGAGGAGACGGCAGCGCTCAGGAGGACATTTTTATCCCTCAAAGAAGACAAAGTCGGAATTACGTGCATCTTTTAGATATTTGAAGAATGCCGAGGGAGTTTATAAAAGACGGACGGCTATCCTGTTTGCAGTATGTGCAGAAAGTGTCTGTGAAAGGCAGCAACGCTTCAAATCTCATGACACATCTGCGTGACCATCACCCACAACTCTACAGTCAACGCAAGGCAAGTTAACGTTAGCGTTTTAGCTAAAATGCGTGATCCGAGGATTTGGGTTGAGGGAGAATGCAACAAGTCGCTATATAAAGCAGCCGCAGCCTGCATATAAAGTGTGTCGCGGACACCCCCATGTTGAAATGACGCTATGCATTACGGGGCTCCCAGGGGCAGATAAGAGTTGGTCTCTCTCTGAGAATAATTATGAATTTAACAATGATTACTGCCTGATGACATTTTCCCACATCTGCAAAGCTCACTGGAAGGACACAAACCGAGGACAATATTTTCCTGATATAGTGTTTATTACTCAAGTAAGGGTAAAAAAGTATCTGATTAGAAGGCTACTTGAGTACTGAGTATCATCTGAACTAATATTTTTAAAATGATGACATCAAACAGACACAAAATAAGAAGTTATGGGCAAATATTGGTATTTTAAAGACTAAAGGGAAAAAATGTAAACAAATAAACAACATAATTACAAAATAACACATTTTAGGTAAAATTTAGACACAAACTGAGGACAATATTTCCTGACATACAGGGTTTATTTAATTGTGTGAAAATGTAGCACGTTTAAAAAAATATACCTCGATAATACCGAAAACCGTGGTAATTTTGGTCACAATAACCGTGAGGTTAAATTTTCTCACTGTGACAACCTTAATACAGACCATTTTAGATTAGGTTACATTTCCTTTATTCCCAGATTATGTAGTTTGTAGCACTCATTATAATGTTGTAGAAATTTCTGGCCAATCCACGTGATCGGTATCGGTGATCGGTATCGATGATCAGCATTCTTTGATATCGGTATCGATGATCGGCAACAAAAAACCTGATCGGTGCATCCCTACATTAGGAGAGCTGTTTTGGTGGTAGCAGTCTCTCCTCCATGCTGGTCTGTTTGCTGGGTGTTTTTGATTTATTTAAACTTGGCAACTTGAATTTAACGTCGGTAAAGCTACTGTTAGCATTTTCGCTAACAGCTTCTTACGTTTGGATAAGCTGTTATGTTTTGGTTTATAGTTCATCTTTTTTGTGGCGTAGATCTCCCTTTTATTACATTTAGAGTCTGTACAAAGTGCTGTACAGATAAAATGGTAAAACACAACTTAAAAACAAAAACACAATCAATAGTAAAAGTACACAATAAAAAAATAATCACGGTACACAAAAAGAACACAATAAAAATAATTAATAAAATCAAGGATTTAAAAATGCCTGGTCATAAAAGTGGGCCTTAAAGAGCAAGTAACGTCTAAATTAACTTTTTTTTTTGCTGATGAACTGTATAAATGAGTGTCTAATAGTGTTTTAAATGTGTGTATTCATTATTTTAGCATTGTGGTGCATTTGCTTTAAAAATAAAAATTCTGCCTAAATACCACTGTATAGCGCCACCTTCAGCTTAAAACATAGAGTTTGAGTCATTTTGAATACACTTTAGCCAATGGCTAAAGAGAAAGATACTACGTAAACCAGTAGAGTACTACGTAGCAGCTCTGTGTCAAAGTTATAAAGCATCGAGAGTCTCGGCCACGCCTTGTGGCGAGTTGGGAGTTGGATTTGCAAGCAAGTGTCGGACGGTTAGCCGTAGTTCAGCATTGGCATATAGCATTAGCATATCCTAATCTTTAGCATAGCTTTTAGTGTTATACATACTTATTTAGTGTTAGCTTGGCTGTTGGATATTGTAGTTTAGTTAGTGTTTGGCTGTTGGTGTTATTAGGAAAGTAGTTTGGGTTTAGTGTTCCATATTGTGTTAGTATGATGAGAAGGTGTAGTGTAGTGGGTTCGGTGGCTCTGTGGGGTCACACTCCTTTCCGCTGGACTTAGAAATTAGGCGCCAGTGGTTGCGTGCAATCGGTGTCTGGAAAACAGTCAGCTCCCGCCTGGTGCTGTAGTTTGCAACCAGCATTTTACCCGCGATTCCTTCGCCAACATGATGGAGTTTGAACTGGGTTGTTCTGCATGTCTCCGTTTGAAGAGGGAGGCCGTGCCCACCTTGGCTCTTCCGCGATTTAGATGCAGACCACCGACTCTGCTCCCCCACCATGGTGGGCTCCAGTCTGAGGTGAGTAAGCTAAATAAAAGTTTTAACATCTTCTAAAGACAATTCCCTACCTAAAAGCAAAGTTTGAGAGACGTGGTTCACTTAATTTAGCTAATATCAGCATGCACTGCCTTCGGGCAGATTTGTCAATGTGGAACGGGATGTAAGGTTAGAATCAGCGGCGAATCGGAACATATCTCGAAGCCCTGGCCGACGAAACGGTCCACATGACTATTACTGTCAGGCTCGGAGAAAACTCTGGTTGTTTTTGTGTCAAGTCGGTAATTCTGCTAACAGTGGCTCGAACTAACGCAGCACTAGTTGACAGACAGCATTACAGCGTGAAATCCAGCTTTACACCACAGCGTGACCCGATTCTGTGAGGAATTCTGTTCAGGAGGTCGCATTTCAGGCTCTCTTCACATCATATGCGACTGACTTTTACGTTATAATAATCACACACTAGGAATGTTATAAAGTGCCTATATAGGACAGTTTCTTTTGTATATTATCTGACTTTATAAACTCCAACAACAATGTGCTTCTATTTTCTTCAGGCTAAATCTACCCAAGACATTGGCTGTCAGACTGATTTAGTAGTCTGCAAGAATGCATTTGTCCAGGCTGACGTGAAGCCTTACCCGTAGCAAAGGTGAATTATTTTTAATAATCTTCTATGTAAACATTTTATCACCTTCTAGTTTTAATTTGTTTTACAGATTATTGTTACATGTGATTTTATTCTACTTTAAAACATTTATAAATGTGCTGTTTCTTTGTTTTTTTACATAGCCACCCAGTTTAGAGCTCCCCGCCACTGTGTGTCTTGTGACACAGGGTCCATGACAGAAATTCATCTTCCAGAAAGTCCCAGAGCAGCGTCCATACCCCTGAAAAGACCAAGATGTGAGGTGTCTGCTGTTGATTCCAGCTTCCACCTCAATGACAGTGCAAGCTCAGTGAACTGTTCAAGGTAAAAAAAAATTAAAACATTTCAGAATTTTTAAGATATTAACAATTAAATAAGTATGTGATTACATCATGACATCATGAAGGAGGCTACTGATTCTGCCCCTGTGACACTTGGTGGTGACGTGTGAGCTGATTCACCTGGTAAATAACTTTTACATTAAATATTTTGTTCTTTGCCATCAAAAGTAAATTAACTAATAACCTGCATTTTTGCAGGACACTCAGCAAAATATGGACTCTACACCATGAGGCAGGCACACATTAATACTCTATAAGAGCACATAAGGTGAGCAACACCACATATTATTATTATATTAATGTACTCTGTCCTGGATTTGTTTTCTTTCTGCATCTCATCATTAGCCTGGCTGATCACCTGATAACTCATGTCATCTGGTTATGACAGCATGAGGATGTCCTCACACACTTGTAACCTATCAGCTCATCTGGCAGAATAGAGAGAGAAGAGACAACACCACATCTCCTGTTCCTGGAAAGCCTTCAGCCATCCTTCGATGACTTGAGAACCTCCATCAGCTCTGTCTCCTGTCTGCCTACAATTATTATAAAAAATATTGTGTTTGACAAGTTTTTTGTGCTGCCAAATGTCTCATTTTGATTCCAATTTTTATATTTAAATGGATATTTATAAATTACATTAATTGAATTATCACATTGTTGCATGCTTAACTAGCTCTATTGTGATGAATTAAACTAGCACCTCACTGTTAAAAGCTCGTTTTAATTTCAAGCATGTTTAAGTATTTATGGACATGAACAAAAACAGGAAATATATAAATTGAGATTTATTTAATTAGTATAACAAATAAGGAGGAAAGAGTCATTGAAAGGCACATTCTTTTGGAAGCTCCTGATCCTGACGACACCAGCAGAGGAGACCACCTGCAGACACCAGAGGATCACCTACGACCAAGAGAGCAGCTGGTATCAGTAAATAAATAAATCAGGGCAGTTTTAGTGGGCTGAACACATTACAGAATAATTTTCTCATGGGGTATTTTCACAACTTTCTATGCAGCAGACTGTAACTTGAGCCCAGGGCTCCTGGAGAGCTGCTATCCAGCACGTTTCAGTGGTTTTCCTGCTTTAACAGGTTAGATTAGCTGTTAAGCAGCTCAGCTATTTGTTGCTGATTAAAACCAGGTGTGTTGAAGCAGATAAATCTCTAAAACATGCTGAATACTAGCTCTCTAGGGCCGTGGAGCCAAACCCTGCAGCTAATCTAATGCTATGGCTAACGGCTACTTACCATTCAGAGCAGGTTCTGTTTGGTCGGTTCCGGTAGTTTCAGGCAACTCACAAGCTCAAAACAATAAGGCTCAGGTCCGCTTTCTCCTCCAAATAGACTTCGGACTTGGACTTATGTTAAGAAGAAGAAGAAAATATCATTTCTATAGCACCTCTCAAGATAAAAATCACGAGGCGCTTAAGCATAATTCTGTGCACACGAAGACGCATAAGAGACCTGGATGATGGAGCTCAATGGTTAAAGGAATAACTGAAGCGGTGTGAAGCGCTCCGTCGCGCGTCTAGGCGGTACCGTAGGAGGCGAGCTGCCGTGGTTCGCCGCATGCTACGGCAGCGAGCTATCTAGGTGCGCACAGCGTCCCCCGGTCCCCTCCTCCTCCCCCTCCCCCCTTGTCCGGAACTTTACCTCACCAGTCTGAAGCAGCCACCCTGTCCGTAACAAGTCCGGACCTGTTACTAGGGGCTTCGTCCGGTAAAATTCCGGAACACGTTATCCGGATGTTTGTATTCAGACACAAAGGTCTTACGGACAGAGTCCGGAACATTTCCGTTTTTCATGGCCTGTCTGAAGGGGGCTCAGGTCACTACAGTTGTTTTGCGTCTTAGGAATAACTCTTAAGGAGTTGAACTTTGTTCAGCTTTGTGCTGAAGGAACCGTTTGCGGTCAGCTGTAGCATGCAACAGGTTTTTGACAGCTTGTCATAGATGCCATGGGAGCAGTTTCCCTCTGATAGCCAGTCAGAGCTAGCTCTAAATCACTCAGGGAGTGATGCTGTTTTAAAATAATGGCCATATATTGGTTTATTGATAAATCAGAACTTGCCCTGTAAAGGAGTTTAACATCTCAGATACACACCTCCCTCAGATATGAAGATGCTGATTTTGTGGATAAGAAAATATCTCTGTGCAGTGACATTAACTATAACTTGTGTCAATGAGGTATGTTGAATGTGTCTGGTCCAGTCAGTGCGATGATTAAGTATAAGGGTCATATATTTCATTCTATCCTTGTTAAACCAAACATTACTGATCATAACATCAAATTGTTTCATTGTAATATTAAAATTCATTTCAACTTCATTGAATTACGCACAGTTTATTCAAACATCAATATTATTATTCATATAACATTTGTTCATTCAACCATATTATTATTTAATGACTATTTAACTTATGAGTTGTAAAAGTTCTTCTTTCATGAGAGTGAGCATTCCTGCGGTCTTATCAAAAGAAGGCTTTGTTTGGGAACATAGGCTGACATCTTATTCTCCCTGAAATGTCACCAAGGTTTGCAGAATCTTCTGGGCTTTAGAAGGCAGGTTAGAAACTTCACTCAGTGGAATTAGGTCTGTAGGTGACCGGACATTGTGTCGGTCGATATGTAGGTGAAAACTGACCATTTCTGGACGTCACACAGGTAATCGGGTGCCAGACCATTCAGGGCATTAGAAACTAAGGTCAGAACTTTAAACTTCACTCTGAAGTTTACGGGTAGCCAATGGAGCCTCACCAGTACAGGTGTGATATGGTTCCATCTAGAGGTGTTCGGCAAAAACCTGGCTGCCACATTCTGTACGACCTGAAGCCTGTTAAGAGCAGAGACTAGTACAACATCACCAAGATATTTGTTTCCCCCCCCCCCCCCCATGATCTATTTTGCCTCCACCCAGCCACAAGTTTGAACCATCCAATCAAAAAAAAAAATAATAATAACAATAATAATACAAAGCGTGTCCTAACCCTTACCCTACCCATAACCCCTTAACACACAAAAAATCGTTCCACGCAGAGTAATTTCATAAATTATAATTGTGCAAAACATACATTTTTGGTGACTTAGTGGTTTTGGTTAGAGTAAGCGTTAGGGTGAGGGCTATTTTTTTTTGAGAGGGAGAACTTAAATTGACATAACACCAGCGCCTGACGCAGGAGAAACAAATTTTACCTGGGATAACTAGATTGCTACAACACCGGCTTCAACATCCAACTGCTGAAAACTTGCTTCAAATAGCTTGTGGCAGACATTTTGAGGCTAGCCGCGACATCTGGGGAAGGCTGGCAGCTTATTTTTCACCGGAAAAGTTTGTTGTCTTTTTTGATAAAAGGCTCCAAACAAGTCTGCTATTTCAGCAACAACTCGCTCCTCTGCATTTCCGATGAGGTGTGCAGTTTTTTGCCGTCATCTTTTGTTTGCACAAATTTACAATTATCTGTGTTTACCGGCTCCCTTTTTAAGTTTGCTTCAAACCAGAAATACTCCCAAACTGCTGAAGTGTTTTGTTTTTAGAAACGAAGTCAGCATGTGCGTGAGCTGCCATTTTTATCTTGGCGCGCCGTCCTCCAGACGGTCACGTGATGACATCACGTTCACAGCCTTTATGGAAAGTCTTTATATCTAGTGACAAAATATTTTAAACTATTTAAGTGAAACTGACAATTCAACCACACTTTTGTTTTATACATTATTGACTTTTATTTATCTTTATTTATTTTAATCCTTGCCTCCTACACGCACTGTTTTTTTCATGATGTAATGTGTGTGTGTGTCTAGGCTGTGTGGAGGGGTTGGGTGACGTTGTGTCCTTGGCTTGTGGTAAGAACTATAGTCTGGCTCTGTGTTCATCTGGACAAGTGTTTGGTTGGGGTGCAGGAGATGACGGACAGCTGGGACAGCCAGTGCAACTCAGCCACATTCAGAGACCAAGGTGAGCTGGAATTATTGAGTGCACAAATAAAAGGGTCACTTTCTTAATAAATGTAACCCATTTTGATCTCATCCCCATGCAGCCGGGTGTCTTTACCAAAAATGTCCATTCAGATCATTCAGGTAGCCTGTGGAAACGCCCATTCCATGGCACTGACTAAAGGTAAGAAAATAACTGCTGGTGTGTGTGATGAAGAGGCAGCTTCTTTATCACAGCTTGAAATGTTTGCATGATTTTGCATCCCTATTTAGCTATTACATCCCGAAAGATTTTTCAGATGTAATTGTGTTTAATATGTACACCCTCCCCCCCTCGGCCGACGCAATTGCTGCATGCGAGCGGCTCCAAAGCTCTGTAGAGAAGCTGCAGACGGCCTATCCAAATGCTATCATTCTCATCAGCGGGGATTTTAATCACGCTTCACTCGCCTCCACCCTCCCCACTTTTACTCAGTATTTGAAGTGCCACACCAGAGACAATAAGACCATTGACCTGCTGCATGCTAATGTAAAAAATACATAAACTTCCACCCCCCTCCCTCCACCGCTCAGATCACAACCTCATTTACCTGAACCCAGAATACACACCTCAGAAAAAATCATGAAAGTGTGGACCGAGGGAGCAACAGAAAGGCTGAGGGACTGTTTCCAAATCATAGACTGGGAGACACTCTGCAGCACTCACGGTGATGACCTTGACAGCCTGACCCACTATGACTACGTTTACATGCAGCCAATATCCGGGTTATGATCGGGTTAAGGTCGGGATTCGGGTTTCTGAGTTGATCAGAATAACCCGTTTACAAGCATAAATAGAAAGAGTTACCTCTAACTTGCATAACCTGATGTAAATGCGGACGTTGGGGTTGCGTCAGGACGTATGGACTACGCCCAGACGCAATATGCGTCATTTCCGGTTCTTCTTGTTCTGGTATCTGTGAAAACAACAACATGTTTCCCAGTTCAGAAGAGATAGTGACCGCGTTTGTTTGCGCTTTAGTTTCCTCGTCACTCAAAAGTGTGGTGCTGTGCCGCGACTCGCCATGTTGCTCCCAACTTGTTTACTTCCAGTATTCTGGCCCATACAAGACGTCTTGCTACTCAAAAGACCAAGATTCCTTGCGAACAGAGCATGCGCAGAACACACACTTTGATGGGGATATCCCGATATGCGTTTACACGACCAAACATTCGGGTTAGAAAAGGGTTACCCCAGGTGTAGTAACAGGGTTTTTAAAAACCCGGTTATGAGCATATCCGGGGTTTTGGCAGTGTTTACATGGCCGTGCGGAACCGGGTTATTGCGGATATTCGGGTTTTAAAAGGGTTACTGGCTGCATGTAAACGCACTCAATGTTTGATCGTGTAAACGTATATCGGGATAGGGAGTCACCGGAAGGAGCGCTTTCCAGCACCCCCTCCAAGGTCTCCAAAAAGGGGTGGGTAGTCTGAACTGTAGTTTGATGCATAATCACAGACCACAGTCAGAACCCGTCTCCCCACACGTAGGCGGAGGGCGGCTACCCTCTCATTCACTGGGGTAAACCCCTACGTATAGGCACCAAGATGGGGGCAACTAGTATGCCCACCCCTGCTCGGCGCCTCTCGGTGGGAGCAACTCCAGAGTGGTAGAATGTCCAACCCCTCTCAAGGAAACTGGTTCCAGAGCCAGAGCCATGCGTTGAGGTGAGTCCGACATCTAGTCGGAACCTCTCAACCTCACACACCAACTCAGGCTCCTTCCCCACCAGAGAGGTGACATTCCATGTGCCAAGAGCCAGCTTCTGTAGCCAAGGATCAGACCGGCAAGGTCCCCGCCCTCGACTACCACCCGTCACACACTGCACCCGACCCCTTTGTCCCCCCCCCCCCCCCCCCCACACACACACACACACGAGTGGTGAACCCATGGGAAGGGGGACCCACACTTTCTCTTCGGGCTGTGCCCGGCCGGGCTCCATGGGTGAAAGCCCGGCCACCAGGTGCTCGCCAACTTGCCCCACCTCCAGGCCTGGCTCCAGAGGGGGGCCCCGGTGACCCTCGTCTGGGCGAGGGAACACAGTTTCCATTTATATAATTCATCATAAGAGGTCTTCGGGATGCTCTTTGTCTGATCCCTCACCTAGGACCTGTTTGCCATGAGTGACCCTACCAGAGGCAGAAAGCCTCAGACAACTTAGTTCCTAGGATCATTAAGACACTCAAACCCCTCCACCACGGTAAGGTGGCAGCCCAGGGAGAGGGTTCTCCCTGCATGGAAAACAAATTAATATGAAATAATCGTGATCCATCGGGATATCGAATCGAATTGAATTGTTGACCCAATAATCGTAATCGAATCGGGAGACAAGTGAAGATTCACACCTCTAGCAGGAACCTCTATTAAAAACAACACTATGGTTTTATTTGCTGAAGAGTCACAATTGTTATACTAGTGGATCCATAAACCACCTCCTCATTTCATATTTCTGAATACATCTTAGAGATCTATCAGCCGTCATCTATGACTATGTATTCTTTGGGTTAAACCAATTGAGTCTAAGATATTACTATCATTTTCAATGTCCACATGAATGTTAAATAAATGATCCAGGAAGAGTCACTCAGGTTAATCCTGCTTTAACCGTACATAACTGGTCCATATATGTTTTGATCTGTAAATAATTGTAACGCATTATAAATAATCTTGTCTCCTTACCATCTTTTCATTTTCTGTTCATGTAACATGTTCAAAAACATCGTAATAATAAAACTGGTGATAAAATCAAAGACCAGAAAGAGTTAGCGGTTAGTATTTGTTTTAATAAACGTGTTAAAATATCGAACAACTAAATAACATTAACATGATATTAGAAGGCCTTTCTCCCAGGAGGACCACCAGGTAAAGCCTCTCCTGACCCTGGACACCTGCAGCCCTAAACAGAGAAAATCAGAGACCACAGGTGACAAAAAGGCAATAAACACATTTTACATTTATCCACATAAGATAAAAATTATGTTCTTCACACAAACTATTTTAACTTCATTATAATGTGTCAACTGTGTAAACCCCTGAATGTAAAACTACTTTTCACAGCAGAACACAGAATGAATTTCTGTGGTTGTGTGTAAACAGCTTCACTCTTCACCTCTAAGCTTAATAAAAACTAGGGCTGCAACTAACGATTATTTTCATAATCGATTAATCTGTCGATTAATTTTTTGATTAATCGATTAATCGGTTCATTATTGTTTAGCTATTTAACCTATACAAGTGATGGATGCATTTCAGTTAAGAAAAAAAATATAAGAAAAGTGTGCAGTTGACTGCAATCTATTTTATTGCACATGAACAGTCAGCAGTATAAAATGAGCTAAACAGTGCAAAATATCAGTCCAGAATAATTTTTTAGCATTAGCTGGAAGCCTGCTCCTTCCACCATGGGTAGTGGCCTCATGTCTTTTACCAGCATGTTTAGAATAGAGTTTGTAAGTGGTATGAATTGCTGGGGGGTGAGTGTCTTGTTCCCCATGTAGTTGTCCATCGTTGCTTGTTTTTTTCTGCATAAGAAACACAAATAGACTGAAATAAGTACACATATAAAATAAAGCAGCACACACACTACAACACTAAATCAATATTATATTATTTGAATTAATTAACAATATACAGTGATCATTTATTTTGAGGATTACGTTCTACAAAATAGCCCGCAACAGGAGATATTCAGAAAAAAAGTCTAATTTTTTTTACTATTAAAAAGCTCTAAGTAAGAAGCTCATGAGGTTTTTATTTTGAGTCGGGAGTGTTTAAATTAGCTAGAAAATGTGAAAAATGTTTATTTTGTGTAATACTGTTTAAGAAACATGATAAAAATGTGTTGTGAGGCGTTTTACAGCGTTAGACAGTAAAACAGCCTTTTAATAGTAAAAAATGACTTTTTCTGAATTTCTCCTGTATTTATAAATTGAAAGCGTACAACTATGCTGCGTTATATTCACCTGGACACAGCTCGTCTGTATATTTTTCTCCGCGGAGTTGTCCTTTTTTGAATGAGGAACATGGTTATGCGTTTGTGCCGTTTTTCTCTTAACGAGAACATTCTTATAAACAGACGTGCTGAATTTGGCAAGCGCATGGTTCACAACACGGAGGAGAGTCACGATTGCATCTAGTCAATCAGAAGTAGAACAACGCAGACTGACGCGGCAAAAAAACATGTTTAACATCCACTATAACGATCTCAGCTAAAACACTAAGTCCAGCTTGTTTATTTTCTGTTACTTACCGGGCTGGCTCTTCCAAATGACGGCTCACTTGACCGCGGTGCTCTTCCTCTGCTGCATCAGCCCCCACATGCTTTCGTCTCAAATGTTCACTTAGGGACGTCGTGCTTCCGTGCCATGCTAGATGGTTTTTGCATATTTTGCAGGTCACCCGTCTTTTCAAGGCATCTAGAGTGAAGTCCGGGGTTTCTCTTCAGTTTTGTCGCTTCTATTTTTCTTCCGTATTTCTTCTTGTTCCGCCATCTCTCACAGCAAGATGAGCGTCAGTAACGTGATACGTCATGAAAACCGAGGGCACTCATTGGCTCATTTCTTCTTCTACGGCTCCACTGGTAGATCAGTGGCTCATTACTGCCACACACTGGCGGCAAATTTAACAGATTGTAACCGATGTCAGATTGTGGTAAAAATAGACTTTATGCGGTAAAATATGATTATTAAACAACTAATCGATGACTAAAAAGTTGTTAACTATTTTAATAATCGATTATAATCGATTAAATCGATTAGTTGTTTCAGCTCTAATTAAAACACTTTTGCTCTGCTGTCCTTAAGACAAATGATAAGCTTAATTTGCTAAAGAAACACAAACACTTTTTAAATTGTTCTTCAAAATGTAAACTGTCTGAATGTAAAACTGCTTTTCACAGCAGAACACAATAACTCCTGTACTCATGTGTAGACAGCTTCACTCTTCACCTCTAAGCTTAATCAAAATGCTCTGTTGTCCCTAAAACAAATGACAGGTTTAGTTCGCTAACCCCCCCCCCCCCCACACACACACACACACAAACGGGAATAACTACGGGACCCGCGATATAAGCTCGTTCTGGCTGATTTCTGCCTAAAATGTAATTTAAAAAACAAATATACAAATGAAAAATGTCTATAAACAGAACCGCGTTAAGCTTTTTAGTTTTCTACGACTAGTTTTATACAAACGTACGTTTAAAACTTCGTAGCTCTCCCCATTTTCTCTTCCTGTTGAAAATCCACAGCCGGCGCGCAAAGCATGCTGGGATAGCCTTATTTTGTGAGGAAACAACAGACCCATCCTCGAATTGTGGGTGGAGCGAGAATGAGTATTCTTGGAGTTCGGACAGTACTCGTCGCTGAGCTGTGACGTCATCGACCTCAAAATGCACCCTTACGAGCATCCTGCCCACAGATTTGGACACACCCATAGTCCCTCCAGCATGTCCTGGGTCCTCTTTAGGTATTTTCCTGGTTGGACGTGTCCAGAAAACTTCACTAAGGAGGCATCCTAACACCTCAACTGGCTCCTCTTGATATGGAGGAGCAGCAGGTCTAATCCTAGCCCCTCCTGGTTGACCGAGCTTCTCACTCTATCTCTAAGGGAGAGCCCAGCCACCCCGTGGAGAAAACTCATTTTGGCTGCTTGTATCTGCAATCTCATTCTTTGTCACTACCCAAAGCTCATGACCATAGGTGAAGGTATGAACATAGATGGACCGGTACATCATCCCTTCACCATGACAGACCGGTACAACGTCCACATCACTGCAGACACAGCACCAATCCGCCTATCGATCACTCGCTCCATCTTTCCCTCACTCATGAGCAAGACCCTGAGATACATGAACTCCTCCACTTATTTATAATAATAATAATAATAATACCACGTTTTCTCATGTTCATTTTCCACCTCGTGTCACCCCCTTAGGAGGAGACGTCTTCTCCTGGGGCTTAAACAGTCACGGCCAGCTGGGCCAGGGTAAGGCGGTGCCCCAGCAGTTTGCGCCCAGCCTGGTGCGGGCCCTGACCGGAGTAGCAGTCACCCAGATCTCAGCCGGAGGAAGTCACACTCTGTTCCTCACGCTCTCCGGACTGGTGTACTGCTGCGGGGCTAATAAGCACGGGCAGCTAGGGCTCAACAGAGTGGATGAAAAAGGTAAACTCTCACTTTTACTTTTCTCCTTGAGGTGGAGTTTTTTCATCATTTGACTGAATATTTTCTGTTGTCCGCCAGGCAGGTTTAACATCTGTGTGGTTCCTGCTCTCAGACCTCTGGGCGTCTCCTTCATAAGCTGTGGAGAGTCGCACACTGCTGTGTTAACCAAGGTACGTGTTTGTGCCTCTCAGCTGTTAGTGAAAAACCCCTCCTCCGGCAGCACTCGGTGACAATAATCAGGAAGCAATAGAACATTTGGTGGCTCTAAATCACACGTTATCAGTAAGAGTGACCAAAGAAGAGAGGATTGGTGCACTGGGGGAAAAGAGCTATGAGCCTTAGAGAAGCTGTGTAGAAAATGATCATCGGGAAACTGGGGCTGATCTTGGCTCTTGTGTGATTCTGTGTTTTCCAGGAAGGAAATGTTTTCACGTCTGGAGAGGGACGTTACGGTCAGCTCGGTCACAGCTGCACCACCGATGAAGTCAGACCCCGACTGGTGGAAGGTCTTGGAGGACCAGCATCTCAGATTGCATGTGGGAGGTAAAATTATTAAACAGTGTTTCATTTTACGATGTTTGTCATCATAACTGTAGTCACGGTGTGAATCTCCTCAGCAGAATTACTTGAGTTTTTAGTTGTTTTATTATTATTTTTCCTCTCAGACATCACACTCTGGTTTTGGGGTCCTCTGGTCAGCTGTGGGCATTTGGCCTCGGGGACAAAGGTCAGACAGGGACAGGACAAGGAGAAAACAGTCTGTCCCCCTACCTGGTTCAGCTCCCATGGACTTCTGACAGCGCAGTGGCTCCACTAGGTGGTATGTGTGATCTTTATTAAGTCTAAAACATGTAAGATGGGACTTAAATGTGATTTGTTTAAACTGATATAAATTAAAACCTTCATTTCAACAGTTTTAATGAGATTTTATGCACTTAACAGACTTAAACATATCATCTGGGTGGAATACAAACTTCATTTACACTTCTTCTGCAAAGGTAATTAACAATAATCATTTTAGATCTCAACAGAAGAAACACTGACTGCTTTTAACTTCTAAAATACTTTTCAGGTCCCTGAAGTTGGTCGGATAATTGGGCGTCTTGATGAGACCAAACTTCAGAAATGGCTGAGAATGAGACGCGGAGATGTGGAGACAAGAAGGTACCTCTTAATTTTTCTGTTTTACTGTGACAAATAGCTAGTATTATCGTTTTATTTTGGTATTCATAAAGTTTTTATAATGTTTCCCTGTTTTTGTGCAACAGAGAAATAGAAGCAATGTTTCTCACCAGCTCAAGTCTTGTCGCGAGTTTCACAAAAGCCGAGTAAGTCAGAGTTTCTGTGCTTGTGTCGGAGTTAAAAATGTTGCACGTGAACTTAATTTTTTGTTTTTGCTTTTACGTCAGTGGGACTCCTCTGGAAGCAGGAGCCTTAACGGTGGACCAGGAAGCTGCCAGTAGAGCCTTTGACCAGATGTTGGCCGTTCCTTGGATCAGACAATCAGTTAAGAAACGTTTTAGATTAATAATCTACCAAAGTGTTATAAATATTTTAGAATGACAAGGTGATGATTAATGACTATCTCCTGCAGGTAAAACTAGACTTCCTGGTAAGCCTGCTTGCTTCCTGTTCAAGGGCCTTAAAGTCTCCAGAGATCTTCATGGTTCTGCTCAGCTGCCCCCTTCTGCAGGAGGACTCCTATGTGATGGAGGCTGTGGCTCTGGCTATCGTCATCTGCGATCTACGCGAGAAGAATCAAGCCTTACTCGGTAAACACTCGAAACAAAAGAAATCAAACAAAGCGTTGCTGGTTTGTTTGGAAGATTTGTCATCTTCCAAATTTTTATTTGTGTTACATAAATGAGAATTCGCGAGAAAGTGATGTTTTATTTTATTTATTTATTTTTTGTGAATGATTTTTGCAGAAAGCTGGTGGTCTTCTCTGTCGGCTCCTTTGCTGACGAGGCACATCATGGTCTTCAAGAATGCCCTGGCCTTCACGCTAAGAAGCAACGTTTTAGCAACTCACAAGCCTGGAGTCCAATACCTGCTGGAGAGCCTCAAGCTGCTCTACAGAGTCAGTGAGAAATGTTTCATTTCAAACGGCACTGTGGTAAAAATCTGGCTCTGCTAGACCTGCAAACGTTAACCAGTATTTGTTTCTTTTCAAGACCACTTATATAAAAAATTTATAAATATTTCACAGCCCTACCAGCAAAAAACAAAAAAAGAAAAAATCCTTGAACTTGTGTTCATTTATTTATCTTTATTGTTTAGTATATGTTGCCTAAACACTTGGTAGACAACAGTAGCAGAGCGGTTTGAGCTTTCACAGAAAGGGTAGCTAGGTAACATATAACGGCGTCACTAGGACTGGGTACCAGTAGATACTTCTTGATACTACTACTTTAACAATACTTGGTTTGTGATGGTGGTACTTTAATGATACTTTTGTTGAAATCTATTTTTCAATTTTAAGAGAGGATAACAAACTACTTAAATGTTTTGTTCTTATTGTTTATATGATTTAATTATATTTATTTATATTATATTTATTTCAAATTTTTTTCTAAGCAAAAACAGAAAAGCTACAGTGCAAACAGTAAAGGTACAACATTGAAAAATAAAAGTAGCCTTCATTTATGCTTCACTTTATGTCAGTAACAGCAATAATAACAACTCTGTTTAACTGCATTTTATACACAGGTAAACAGCAGGTAAGTTGGTTTTTTGTCTTATTTCTGCTTTAATCAGCCTTCATCCTCAGACTTCTCCAGTGTTTTGGAAGGTGATGGACTCTGGTTTACTGTTTTGCTGTCAAAGACTTTCCATGTTTCAGCTGAAGATGATGCCCTGCATGATGATGTGCTTTGTTAGATTGGCAGTATTCCTGATTTTTGATGGTGTTGCATGTAGCTGCTGAAATGCTCCCAAATGTTTGAGGTTTATTTATTTTTGCATTTTCATCCGCTAGCTGCAGAGACGTGTTGTTGAAAGCTAATGTCCTAATGTGACTCGGGGTCAGTCATGTGACCTGCGGTGGCACATTGGGACATTTTAATACTTCTGATATAGGTCCAGAGTTCTGGCACCCAGCCCTAGACATCAGGCACCCTTTCTCATGGTCTGCTGATATTTTCCACATTTTTCACTGCTGGAGGTCTGTGTGGGCCATGCTGTTTACAGTTTCTATATTACTGCTGTAGCACGGGAGCTGAATACGTCAGGTGTTTGGGGTATTTTGACCCGAGGCTGCACTGCTTTCTCAATTATTGGTTCTGCCGCTCTTTATTTGTGCCATGTTATTTAGTGAAAATTATTGTAGTTGACAAATGAATCTAGAGGACACACAGTACAAAGAATTTACATACAGCACAAATTTTAAGACCCAGTTGTCAACACTCAAGACTTTTAAGACCCTGCGAGAACCCTGTGTATTAGCTCACCTATAACTACTGACTGCATGATCTTTTTTGGGTGCAAAACTCGCAAAAGTCCACATTTTTAATATTCCCTCACAGGCAAACAAAACTGGGAAGTCCTACAAAGTCCCACTGAGCACCTTTTACGTAGAGGAAGTTGCTACCATTAATCCAGTGGAAGACATCACTCTCTGGTTGGCTTTCTGCAAAGAAGAGGTGAAAACATACTTGTAGTGTCTCATCTGTTATTTTTTATTCAAATAGTTTCTTATTAAAACTCTGAACATTTCTTTAAAGGAAGACAAAATACCTATCATTTTCTGCCGCTACCCCTTCGTTTTCCCTCTGGACTGTAAGGTTGCGGTGTTCAACATCTTAGCGTTCGTGATGAAGGTACAACAAAACGATGACCTCATTCATTACGTTTTTCATTCCACACTTCAGCACATAGCTGTAACTGCCATGCAAGGATGTGCTAACAAGTTCTGTAACAACAGGAGGCCTATTATGAATTGCCCGGGATGGGTCGTGAGTGGCCCGAGCCGTGGCTCCTTGATGCTCCAGAGTTTACATCTGGCCCATTTTTCCAGCTGACAGTGAGACGAACTCACTTGGTCGAGGACACCTTCAGGCAGCTCGCTGCAAGTGATCACTCCACCTTCAAAAGGAACCTTTTGGTAAATAAGAATGGTCGTTGTGCTCTAGAAGGTTTTGTTTTGGGATTATCAACCAAACAACAGAAATGTGGCTATAACTCACTTGTTTTTACACTTTAATAGGATTTAATTAATAAAACATGGATGGTGGGAATAATTAATATGTTTTAGGAGGTTTATTTATTATTCTCTAACTCAGGTGAGGCTTGTGGATGACCACAACGTCATGATTGTCAACAAAAGGGATTTTTTTCTCCACGTGTTCGATGAGCTGATTGTTCCTGAGTCTGACATGTTCATGCACAACGACAGTAGGACTCTGGTCTGGTTCCCACCCAAGGTAGGACCAGTTCTGCACAGAAAAATCACACTTACACAGTTCACACGAAAGCGCTGCTGTACGGACTGATGAACGCAGTCCGAGTTACCCGTCGAAAGACGTTGGGTATATCTTATTTTATCAGCTCTTGATCAAAAGTTTTTCTTTTGTTTCCTGAAAAGCCAAAAGTGGAGGAGAATAAGTACTTCCTGTTTGGCGTGCTGTGTGGCCTGGCTCTGTACAACCACAAAATCATCCACCTGCCCTTTCCACTGGCTTTGTTTAAGAAGCTGCTCCGAGTCAGAACCTCCCTGGACGACATGAAGGAGTTTGATCCAATAATGGCAGAGTAAGGCAACTGCACGACTCTTGATAAAGAGAGCATTTTGTATTATACTTGGTTGTTTCAGGTGTTTATGACCGACATGGATGTTGCTCGTGTGTTCAGGTCTTGGAGGTGCATTTTGGAGGATTACACTCCGGATGAAGTGGAAGCCCTGGACCTGACTTTCACCGTGTGTTTACTGAATCACAGCCCAGCAGCTGCTTTAATCGCCATGCACAGAGTAGTGTTAGTCTTAATTCAGCTGTTTGCCTTGATGTTACAGGTGTCCTGGGGTCAAGAGGAAGTTGAACTAGATCCAAATGAAGCTGGAAAACCTGTCACCTGGACAAACAGGTATGATTTATATCAGTATAAAATGAAATCATCATCCCAGTCTGCCTTTCTGCCAGTTTGTGGTTTATTTCTGAGAGCTAACATCTGAAAACCCCCACAGGAAGGAGTTTGTTGCTACCTTTGTTGACCACGTCTTCAACAAATCAGTGGAGGGGGTGTTTGAGTTGTTCGAGAGAGGCTTTTTCAAAGTGTGCAACATAGACGTGGTGGAGTTCTTCCAGCCGGAGGAGCTGCAGGCAGTGATGGTGGGCCAGGAGAATTATGACTGGGAGGTCTTCAAAGAGGTTTGATTCTTTGAGTCTTACACACTTTCAGTCTATTTATTTAACTTATTTTATGAGGATAGAAACCGCTTGAGATGTGGCATCTCATTTTCGAGCGGGTCCTCAGCTCATACAACAAAATAGCAGACAAGGCAGCAGAGTAACTTACACAGACACAAGACAATCACAACATCAAACAAAAGAGAGAGGGGGGGGGGGGTCCTGCTAAGCTATGGCTCACCAACAATATTAGCTAAGCAGACCCAGTACACACATTCAGTTAAAATAAGAATTTACGAATTTACTTCTGCAATCCTGCTCGGACTACCATCCCACCTGTTTTAGTTGTTTCCCTGCTCCAACACATCTGATGTAATGGTTGAATCACCTGTTCAGCAGATCAACAGGCTCTGCAGAAGCCTGTTAATCAGCCACTGATTAAAAGCAGGTGTGAAATTTGCTTGATTGGACAAGACCCTGTTCTAAATTGTCCCTAGGTGTGAGTGAGTGAGTGAGTGAGTGAGTGAGTGAGAGAGTGATTGTTTGTCTATATTTGTTCCCCGTGATAGACTGGCAACATGTCCAGGTGTCCCCCACCTCTCGTCTGATGACAGCTGGAGTTTTCCTGACTTTCCACCAGATGCGTATGCATAGCGTAACATCTGCAAAGCAGAATATGCAGCTAATAGCTGCGGTCTTAGTGGGCGGGTGTGTTTCCACTGGTCTTGAAGTAGCACGCTTTATATGCACCACGCTTCTCAGTGTCTTGTTGCTTCACTAAATGTACATTACAGGCTTATTTTTATGCACTTTGCTTCTAGAAGCATCAAGTCTAGCCATTCAGCCTAGACCAGACAGGAAGCTAAAAAGTCACGTGCAGAATTTCTATTGCTTGACTAGTAAAAGAAAGAAAAAAATCCATTTCCTTGTTAAACCTTGTGGCCGAGGAAATTAACAACAGATTTTTTGGATACGTGTTGTTGTGTTTCTCACGCAAACTGGCTAAATCACGCGAGATCTTTTCTGATTTCGTGTACACGCAGGATCGCATGGAACATATATTTGTGTCTAAAACGCTTGTGGAGAAAAAACATCAGCTCCTCCTGATCCTAGTAAGGATGAAGTGGTTAAGGTGAAAGCAGGTTTTCTCGCCGCTCTCCCTGAGAGTTGTTTACACACAGTGTTGGGAGTAATGCGGTACAAAAGTAATTAATTACTGTAATGCATTGCTTTTTGCTGTAATGTGGTAATGTAAGGCATTACAGGGAAAGAAAATGGTAATATTTACTCGGTACAATTGTCAGTAACGCGGTTATTACAATGCATTTTTAAACCCAGAATCAAGATGTGTTCCTTAAAAATTCAAATTGCGGGAAACCCGAAGAAAGATCCAGTATCTGCATATATCACGTCATTTATGGACTCAGCTTTGCGGGCAGAGAGGACGCCGCGGTAACGGCTCAGCTGCGTCCTGCACGCGGCCGCAGTAACATTCACAAAATTGCTCCACTAAAACAAAATAATTCACTTGCGATCGTTCATATCAGCGCATATTCTCTGGTATTTTGTGCTTTTCTGACGTGCTTTGCCTCAGCTGAGTTCATAATCTGTACCACGGTGATTTCAACTCATTACTGCTGGAGCGCCGCGCATGTGAAGATCCCTCTGGCTGATCGTTAGAAAGTAGGAAGTCTAGGAAACAGTTTTTTTTGGAAGACGGAGAAAACATGCAGCATGCAGGAAGGTTAGAGAGAGAAAGGGCAGGACATTATTCAAATAAAATCAAGAAAAAAGTAGGTAGATTTATCCCCAATACACATTTTTACCAGTGAAAAGCAATAATATACATAAGCATTTAATATTTATACTTGTGATAGAATCAGATCACCCCAGAAGTCAGTCCCACATCCAGGGCCGTATCAAGGCATTTGGGGACCAAGGCAAATTTAGGCTTGGAGCCCCCACCACCCCACTCCCTGCTCAGTTAATATAAGATGGCAGTGTGTTGAGAGTACAGATTGTTGTTGCTTTTATTTAATAAACAATCATTTTAAAGCACTGTTATTATATCTGACTGTTTTTAACAGCAATCCGAGCTCAGACACCACATCACTTTCCACATATATGTCATGAGCTCACTGAGCGTCACATGACCAGATTCATATTGAAGATGTTTTGGTGAAAGTTACTTAAAGTAATGCAAAAGTAGTGTAATGCCTTACAATTTAAAATCAGTAATATTGTAATGTAATGAATTACTTTAAAATGAGGGTAACAAGTAATAAATAATGCATTACAGTTTTGAAGTAACTTGCCCAACACTGTTTACACACCACTTGTTCCTCATGGGTAATTTTGTACATTTAAAATCAGTCGACAAGTGGTGCAGAGGTAGAAGTACCTTGTTGCTGTTTGGTTTCACTTTCAGGGACAAAGAAAGAATGACTTTTTTGTTCTGGTAAATGAGCTTGTTGTGTTACACGTCAGTGTTTTACAGGATTTAGAATCTGGTTAATAGAAAACCCACCGACAGGGAAGTTTATTCTTCCAGCTTGATGGATGTTTTGTTTTCAGAGCACCGTGTATGAAGGAGAGTACCACGCTTACCATCCCAACATCCTCACCTTCTGGGAGGTGTTTGAGAAACTCACACACGAGGAGAAGAAGAAGTTCCTCTGTACGTGTTATACTGACACCACATATCTGCAGATGTTTTAACTCCAGATGTTTCCACGTTGCACATGTTCACCGTCAGATGCTTTTTGTCCCCAGTGTTCCTCACAGGCTGTGACCGAGTGCCCTTCGTGGGAATGAAGCGCACCATAATGAGGGTGGCTGTGCTGCCCAACTCCAGTGAACGGCATCTACCTGAATCCCTCACCTGCCACTTGCTGTTGCTGCTGCCCATCTATCGGAGATACCCGGCAGACAGGACAATGCGGACCCGCCTCCTGAAGGCCATTAATCACAACCGAGGCTTCTGGAAGGAGTAGATGAAGCAGCGAGGGCTTTTTATTTACATTCATACGTGAATTTTATCCTTCCACGTCAGTACTAGTTTGAAACGGATGTAGCTATGTTGACATTTAGCAGTTAATTAGAATATGTTTGTTTTAGGAAGGTGTTCCGTGTTTCAAACCTGTTTGATCAAATTTCGTTAACCTTTGTACTCTGTTGTAGGTAACCTGTGCAGTCCTGACATGACACGTTTTAAGTCTAGTGAGATAAATAGAAATATGTTTTAGTTGGAAATTGTTTTAGTATTTTATAAATGTGTGGAAATTCACTGTCTGGTAATGTAAGTGCAGATGTTCCTTCTGCCGTTCGAGCTTTAATAAAACATCTAAATGAAAGTCTGCATCCAGTCTCTTTGTGCCTTTTATTGGTTTATCTCATGTTACAGTTTTCAAGTTGGCTTTAATCTTTGAAATCAAATTAATTTGCTAACTTGTAACCATGTTCTGCAGAATTATCTGCCAGCATCTGACAAAAAAAAAAACATTTAAGAAAAACTAAATGAAAAGTCATAATCCTAGTTTTCTAAGCTGCTACATGTTTCCTATTTAAAATGCTTCAGGGGATCCCGATTACCAGAGCAAAGAGTTTTGTTACCAACTGAAATAAACATGTATTCTGTCCTGGGTTTGGATGAGGAATAACAGATGATCACAAGTGAACAATTTCAAAACATTTTCTGAAAACCAGCCCTGTCTTAATTTCCAATAGCAAACAATGAAATTTAAGGAGGCATTCATTCAGTATGTGTAATCTGTGAGAGGTCTACAGCTAAGCTAATGTCGCTAATGTTCCATACAATTCAGGCTGAAAAGCACAGACGTAACAAAAACAGTAAACATTTAAAAATGGTTTTACAGCCGCTCCCACAGAAAAGGGACAAAAACCTTTACAGGAGTAGTTTCCACACACAACCAGGTATTTCTCCTGCTCCACTGTGCTTTCGTCCTGGCTTTAAAACATCTCCTGTGACAGTCGGACAGAAAACAGCCTGCAGTGATAGTTTTAACTATCCACAGACATACATAAATACTTTATTAAAAAAAAATTACATTTAATCACAGTTTAGGAAAAAAATAACAAAACAAATGTGATTCAAATTTCAAAGACATTAAATATAAAAGAGTATTACTAACAACATGGCTGTGCTGAGTGAGAAAAGGCAGCCACGTCTCTGTTCTTCTGCTCCGTGAGTATTGTGATTCAGTCATGGTGTGTTGAGTGGTTATTTAGCTTTTAAACGGACAACAGTCCAGTTCATGTCCTACATGAGCAAACATGCACTGCAGCTTTTATCTGATGAGGTGGTAGGTGAGCCAGTACATGAAGACGGGCTGTGCTGCTGCTATGGACATGGTCAGGTACATCCTCAGCTGGTTCCTGGCTCCTCTCACCAGCTTCCCTTCAGCTGCTGCCTCAGACAAAAGCTTCAGACGTAGGGTGCGGATCTGAGGAGAGATTGAAATGTGTAGGATGAGTGGCGAGTAAAGGTTAGGGTTCCTCTAACGATGCAAGGATGTCTCATTATTCGCTTAGTAAACATTTCAGAACTTTGACACATTTTATTTAATAATTAAAGCTTTTACTTGTCATCTGAGAATTTGTGATTAAGTAAGATCTGAATCAGAATGACAGAGGTAAAAGCATCCTAAAGTCTGCCTTTTTCAGAATCAGAATCAGAAGAATTTTATTGCCAGCGCTCCTTTCAGAGCGTAGGAACTTGACTCCATGGTACAACCTGACCAAGGTTACACACACACACATAGACAAGACAGATACAGGCAGACCATGGGAGCAGCCATAACGGCGCTCCTTTGTAGATGAGTTAGGGAATATATGAGGGAAGTTCAGGGATGGAGAAAAAAGGCATTAACAGGGTTACACCAGCAGGGTGTAGCACTCCAATGCAAAAAAAAAACACCCGACATGTAAGCAACAAACGTCACAGTTCACAACATGAGACCCGGTAGGTAGGGGGGAGGGGCTGGGATCCTGGTTTCCTCAGCGGGGCGGCCTGTGTGGCGCTCAACCAGCTGTCTCCGCAGGTGGGAGGGAGGTCATGAGGAAGCATAGAGAGCAGTGAGTCCTTCAGCTTGATGACCTCGGTGGAGACCACAATCTGAAGGCGGGGGGTGGGTGGGTGGATAGAGATTCACAGCATTTGTCAGCATTCCTTCCAGCGTGGGGGTTTTGCATGCAACTCCAAGGCTGCTTATGGCGTCAGATTCGATAACAGAAACTTTGTTTGGGTCAGACAGAGATAATTTTTCCTCTCTGCCTTAAGTCTGTATTGATCATTCAAGTCCTCCAGTGAAGCCAATTCAGTGATTAAACATCTCCACACCGCCCGGTGACCCTTTCCGAGATGTTATCAATCCTGCGCGCTAACACCGGTAACGCAGCTAAGACATTGTCCAGCTTGCGATTCACCTCGAGCAACGTCCCAGTCTGTGAGGTATCCACACGGACGGTGCCGTCCATGGATGCGGGTCGCCCTCCAATCGCTCCTGTCATCCCAATTTTACGGAAAGCCAGATATCCTCCCACTCCAATCAGAAGAAATCCAACGATCATCAGGCCAAATATCCACAAATCTTCGACGTCCTCAATGGACAGCTGAGAGAGACAGATGATATTCCACTTCTTCCAGGAATCAAACATACTGTATATCCCGCTGCATGTGTCCCCTGAGGACAAGCGTGAGCCCCCTCCTCCGTCCTCATTGTAGAAAAAATCTTATCAATCGCGTTGAATGACCAATTAATTAAGTCAATGTTGAAAAATGCTGAAAAAGGTGATTGCAGAGGAAATGCAGAGAAGCGCTCTGTAGGCAGACGGGACAAAAAGAGCCTTGGGAAAACACAGATAAGGGAGGAAAAGGCAGAAGCGTCTGCTCCCTGTGAGCGGCAATACAATATGCCGATGATGGTCAGGTGTATCTACCTTTGAGACGATGCTCTGCTGGTATTTTTCAGAACCTAATCGACTGTCTCTCTGATGTAAAATCCTGGAAGCCACTTAAAGGGGAACTAGGAAGTTTTGGCTTGCTTTTAGCACCCCCCATAGTGTCCATTTGTAAACCAAAACCTTTCTCCTCACTGTGTGTTCCTCTTTTCAACACCTTAATCTAACAGCTGAAATGTCTCCCCAGCCTTTATTTGTGTCTACAGGAGTGATTCATCACTAAATTTAACAAATCAGCTGTGTTCATGATTAAAACATGCAGGAAACGTGCTGAAACCAGACCGCAGCACTAGGTATGTCGTCGGCTCATTTTTTTTCAAGTCTCAACAGACCGCGGGGTCTGAAGTTGCAAATAGAATATTCTGGAGCGATATGGGCTGGGTGGACTTTCACACCCAGTAAAGGATCATTTTAGCACATACTGGCTCAAGACAACTTTATTAGTCCCCGAAGGGCAATTTGAGAGCATTGTGAAGCAGCAGATACTAAAATCTCTATGTTCTAAAACTCAGTCAATTTACATATTCATAAAACCCATAAAACCTATATACGCATTCACGTCATACCCTTACATGTGAATGACCAACAATGAGTAAACCTTTTTGCTCACACACACACACACACAAATACTCATGCATACATGCAATTACATGCATGCACACATACAAGTAATGCACACACCCCATCTGCACTAAGAATTAAGAAAATGATATAAAAATATTGTAACGTCACGTAATGGCCTGGTTTAAGACTCACAGGTCAGATACACAGCCTGGGTCACCTTGCCCTGGCTACTACTCCAATCTGCAATATAGTCCTTCACAGGAGACTTAGTCTGCTACCAATCCTTTAATCTATGCAGCTGTCTGCTTATTCAAATTCAAAAATATTTATTAATCCCAGAGGGAAATTGATTATCTGACTGCTATTCCATCCACAGCAAGAAGAGGACATTTCAAGATTTAAAAGAATCATTTAAATAAACTCTCTTTACTGCTAATCATCAAGGTTCATTATAACTGTGTTTAATTACTGAAATGAATTATTATTCTTTGGTTAATAATTATTTATGGTAATCAGTAATGCTTTACTATGACAAGAATCATGTGCACTTAGTCAGCCCACACAGGTCACAGTAACTAAGTTAAAGGTTAACTGCACTCACATGATCTTTTCCCATAACACCAGAACTTTCTATCTTCAGGAGGCGTGTTTCTGAGGGTTTGTAAAATCTTCCTTCTACATGTCAAAACCTGATTCGTTAGAAAAGATAATAGCCATCTTTTAAAACAGAACTCTCGTCAGTTGCGAGTGAGTTCTAGAGAAGGTTGGGATGGCTGCCCAATGCTCTTTAACCAAACAAGCAGTTTCTGTCACGTTGGCAGAACTGCTCCAACACACCAAAACGACACCTGGAGAACAAAGCTGATGCTACGAGATTCCTTAAGAATCTGCAGAAGCAAACCAATTCCACTTGTGTGCCTGCGGCATCTCTAGGACCGGAACAAGTCTGTACCATTGGTCTTCCCTACCGGACCCAGTACCCTGAAGCTGTTCAACATCCTCCTCTGACCTCCGGATCCACGACGAGGGTCGCCTGACGGTGAGGTAGAACATAGATTGCGTCTGAATGCTCTTTAATAACAACTTAGCTTATTGACAAAACCAAATTCTTTCTCCACCCAGAACGCGCCCTCTCTCTAAGATGCACATTCTGATACATGCTTCACTCGCAAACAAAACACACTTCACCTTAGATTCATCCAAACACAGGGCTGTTTTAATACCAAGGTCTTTTTAATACCAAAGCTTTTATAAATTGTCTTTTAAATTGTCATGTTGAAATTGTTTAGTAATACATCTCTTTACCTTTTTAAACCTGACTTTCTTGAAATAAACACGGAGTGGGTGTATATTGATCACAGAACAAGCAAAGATCTTTAGATCTTCTAAATGAACAAATACATTTTGCTATTAGGGTTGTCACGGTAACCGGTATAGCGGTAAACCCCGGTAAAAAAGTTGACAATAAAAATAACCGTCCAGTTTTTAAAAAACTAAATTATCTCGGTGGGTTTACCGTGGCCGCGGTTTAGGCGCGGTGACCCTCACCAGCCACCGTCGCTTCTGTTGAAGATCCCGCGCGCCGCACAGGCACTTTTTAGTTTGCACGGAAGCTGAAATAATGGCCGAAGGAGGAGACTGCAGCGCCCAGGAAATCCATCAGCCCTCAAAGAAAACTAAATCGGAAGTATGGGCATATTTTGGATTTCTGAAGAATGCCGAGGGACAGTTAATAGAAGACGGCTATCCCGTTTGCAGAACGTGCAGGAAAAAAGTGTCTGCAAAAGGCAGCAACACTTCTAATCTAATGGCACATCTGCGTGACAATCACCCACGTCTCTACAGCCAGTGCAAGGTAAGTCAACATTAGCATTTTAGCTAAAATGCATGACGTGAGGACTTTTGGCTGAGGGAGAATGCAACGAGTCACTATAGACAGCAGCCGCAGCGCCCTCTGCCAGCATTTAAACCGTGTCACGGACACCCCCATATTAAAATGATGTTATGCATTATGGCTCCCATGGCGCAGATGAGTTGGTCGCCACTGCTCACCCTATTATTATGAATTTAATAATGGTTACTGCTTGATGACATTTACCCTAATCTGCAATGATATGATATATCATATTAACTTGAAGGACACAAACCGAGGACAATAATATTTTCCTGATATAGTTTTTTTTGTAGTTGTCTGAAACTGTAACACATTTCTGGCACTATAATTAGTACATTTAATACCCTCGAAGTGATCAACAACGCATAGTTATAATGAAATATTGGAATTAATGGGAAATATGCCTTGAACTTCCTTTAAAATGCCCTGTGAGATAATACATTTTTTGCCAATCCTTTTCTTTGGAGTTAGCAAAAAAAAAAAAAAGGTATAGGCAAACACATCGTATGTATATTGATATGAATAGTTGAATGTTGAATAATGATAATGATTCAAAACAATGACGTGGATATTTTTTTAATATATTTTATTTTTGTTTACAGAGAGGAGCAGTGGGACAGACAGCGAGGCAACGGAGTACCGCTACTGGATCATCAGTGACACAGACACTTGTGCAAGCATTCCAAAAACAGACCGATTACGTGCCTGCATCCCAAAAGGCTCAAGAACTGACTGCAGCCATCACCTATTTAATAGCAAAAGACATGATGCCTTTCCGGACAGTCGAGAGACCTGGCTTTCTGAGGATGATGAAGGTTGCCGTACCTCATTACAAAGTGCCTACACGCAATTATTTTTCTAAGACTGAAATCCCAAAAATGTACAATGCAGTCAAAGCTGATGTTAAGAAGAGTTTGGCTCAGGGTGAATTCTTTGCTGCCACTACTGACTTCTGGACCAGTAAAAGAGGGGGTGGTCTACCATACATCAGCTTTACAGTTCATTATCTCACCCCAGACTGGCAACTGGAATCACACTGCTTAGAAACTCAGTTTTTTCCAGAAGTTCACGCTGCTCAAAATATTGCAGAGTTTTTTGAAAATATGTTGGAGGAGTGGGAGATAAACAAGACAGATCTGGTCTCCATAACCACAGATAATGCAGCCAACATGACCAAAGCCTTTGAAGAGTTTCCAGATGTGTGGCTTGGATGCTTCGGTCACAATTTGAACCTGGCCATCTCAAAGGCTCTGAAAATACAGAGAGTTGAAACAGCAGTAAGGACCTGTCGTCATCTTGTCCAAGGCTTCTCACGGAGCTGGAAGAGAAAGAGAGGACTGAGAGAAAAGCAAGCTGCCCTCACCTTGCCACCGCTGGCTCTCATCCATGACGTTGTGACCCGATGGGGATCGACATACAAGATGCTTGAGCGGTTTATCAGCCAGCAGCAGGCAGTCTGTGCTACACTGGCTGCAGAAAGAGGAGCTTTGCATCTGATGCCCAAGGACACTGACATAATTGTCATGGAGCAAGTCTGCCAGCTCCTTGAACCACTAAGCAAGTTTACAGATGCACTTTGCTCAGAGACACGAGTGACTTTATCAGCCATTAGGCCAGTCCTTGACCACATCACTGGTGATGTCCTGGAGGAAAATGAAGAGGAACCAGCCCTGACCAAGCAGATGAAACAAGCAATGAGAGAAGACCTAAACAATTGGTACACAGAGAAAGCAAAAGATGTCATGCAGATGGCTTGTTTCATTGACCCCAGGTTCAAGAATAACTTCTTAGATGCCCCTGTGGATGATGTAGTTGACCGCTGTGTTCAGGAGGCCTTGAAGCTGACCCCTGTACAAGTCAGGCAGGAACCACAAAGCACCAGCAGTAACTCTACAGCAGCAGCAGGAGGGAAAGGCCTTGCTGGGTTACTAAAAAAGATTACCTCAACAAGGCAGCAGCGATCTGAAGAGGGTTCAGGTCCAGCCACCCCAGAAGATAAAGTGAAGAAGGAAGTCAAAGTCTACATGTCTCTGCCATCCATTCCAGCTGATGATGATCCACTGGTGTGGTGGAGGGGCCATGCATCAGAGCTGCCTCATCTTGCCAGGCTGGCAAAAAAGCTTTTGTGTATCCCAGCAACTAGTGTTCCATCAGAGAGAATATTCAGTGCCAGCGGGCACATTCTTTCCTCTCTTAGATCACATCTTAAACCAGAAAAGGTTAATATGTTGACATTTTTGCATTTCAACCTGAAGTAAATGGTCATGCATACAGTCATGATGCTGGTTGCTGGATGAAGCATCTTACTTGTTGATGAAGGAAATATACAATTAGTTCCTTGTCATTGATTTGTTTACTTATTCAATGCCATTTATACTTGAACATTTGGATTTGATTACATAGTGTAGTAGTTATTTTAGTAATTTGTTTAAAGTGGATATTTATTTTAAATACATATTTTTTTAAGGTTGACTTGTACAGTGCTCAAGTCAAGTGTGGACTGGAGTTTTAGATTTTCATTTTGATAATGAAGAAAACAAGTTGTGTTTCTTTGACTTGTTTACATATTGTTTATGTTTTGAATGTTTGGATTTGTATAATTTAAACCTGCACTGACTACTGTAACATGTTCCAGAAAAAGAAGCTATTTGTTCCTTGTGAAAAGTTGCACTTTTGCTAAGGCTTTGTGTTTTTTTAGGTTTAATAAACACTGTTAAACCTTTTCAAAACTATTTCAGTTTGTGTAGAACATGACTATCAATGCTTTCTGAACATATGCAACACCGTTTAAAAAATACCGCGATAATACCGAAAACCGTGATAATTTTGGTCACAATAACCGTGAGGTTAAATTTTCATACCGTGACAACCCTATTTGCTATTAAATTAAATCTTTAAAAATAAATATTACAATCTTTTGATTAACATAGACCAAGCAAGTTGGTGTATGAATTTATATCTTTTATACAGTGGTGTGAAAAACTATTTGCCCCCTTCCTGATTTCTTATTCTTTTGCATGTTTGTCACACAAAATGTTTCTGATCATCAAACACATTTAACCATTAGTCAAAGATAACACAAGTAAACACAAAATACAGTTTTGAAATGGTGGTTTTTATTATTTAGGGAGAGAACAAAATCCAAACCTACATTGCCCTGTGTGAGAAAGTAATTGCCCCCTGAACCTAATAACTGGTTGGGCCTCCCTTAGCAGCAATAACTGCAATCAAGCCTTTGCGATAACTTGCTACGAGTCTTTTACAGCGCTCTGGAGGAATGTTGGCCCATTCCTCTTTGCAGAATTGTTGTAATTCAGCTTTATTTGAGGGTTTTCTAGCATGAACCGCCTTTTTAAGGTCATGCCATAGCATCTCAATAGGATTCAGGTCAGGACTTTGACTAGGCCACTCCAAAGTCTTCATTTTGTTGTTCTTCAGCCACTCAGAGGTGGATTTGCTGGTGTGTTTTGGGTCATTGTCCTGCTGCAGCACCCAAGATCGCTTCAGCTTTAGTTGACGAACAGATGGCCGGACATTCTCCTTCAGGATGTTTTGGTAGACAGTAGAATTCATGGTTCCATTTATCACAACAAGCCTTCCAGTTCCTGAAGCAGCAAAACAACCCCAGACCATCACACTACCACCACCATATTTTACTGCTGGTATGATGTTCTTTGTCTGAAATGCTGCATTACTTCTACGCCAGATGTAACGGGACATTTGCCTTCCAAAAAGTTCAACTTTTGTCTCATCAGTCCACGAGGTATTTTCCCAAAAGTCTTGGCAACCATTGAGATGTTTCTTAGCAAAATTGAGACGAGCCCTAATGTTCTTTTTGCTTAACAGTGGTTTGCGTCTTGGAAATCTGCCATGCAGGCCATTTTTGCCCAGTCTCTTTCTTATGGTGGAGTCGTGAACACTGACCTTAATTGAGGCAAGTGAGGCCTGCAGTTCTTTAGAAGTTGTCCTGGGGTCTTTTGTGACCTCTCGGATGAGTTGTCTCTGCGCTCTTGGGGTAATTTTGGTTGGCCGCCCACTCCTGGGAGGGTTCATCACTGTTCCATGTTGTTGCCATTTGTGGATAATGGCTCTCGCAGTGGTTCGCTGGAGTCCCAAAGTTTTAGAAACGGCTTTATAACCTTTACCAGACTGATAGATCTCAATTACTTTTGCTCTCATTTGTTCTTGAATTTCTTTGGATCTTGGCATGATGTCTAGCTTTTGAGGTGCTTTTGGTCGACTTCTCTGTGTCAGGCTGCTCATATTTAAGTGATTTCTTGATTGAAACAGGGGTGGCAGTACTCAGGCTTGGGGGTGGCTACAGAAATTGAACTTGGGTGTGAAACAACACAGTTTTGTTATTTTTTAATAAGGGGGGCAATTACTTTTTCACACAGGGCAATGTAGGTTTGGATTTTGTTCTCTCCCTAAATACTAAAACATCATTTCAAAACTGCATTTTGTGTTTACTTGTGTTATCTTTGACTAATGGTTAAATGTGTTTGATGATCAGAAACATTTTGTGTGACAAACATGCAAAAGAATAAGAAATCAGGAAGGGGGCAAATAGTTTTTCACACCACTGTATGCATGTATGTATGTGTATGTATATATATATATATATATATATATATATATATATATATATATATATATATATACATATATATGCGCATGTAAATTTCATTCGTCAATATGTTTGATCTTAGGAATTAAAACATAAGCTGATAGCAACAGCCTTTAATTCCTAGATATGTAGTTCATTAACCCTACAATATGAACAATATGAACAAGTTGAAAAGTACCCCTTAAATATTCTGAGTTTTAATGATAAGACTGAAACTGTTGTGGTCCTAACCAAACGACAGACAGAGTGCCCTTTATGACTGTGATATGTCTGCGCTGACCCTCTATGAGAGGTCTGTCATCACTAGCCTCGGAGTGAAATTTGATGCAGCACTTAAATTTGACAGTCAAGTTAAAAAGGGTTGTGAACTCATGCTTTTTCCAATCTACGATGCAGAGCAAAAATCAAGCCGTTTATGTCATTGTCTCTGCTTGAGACTGTGATCCACGTCTTCACGACTAGACTATTGTAACTCCCCTTACCTGGAAGAGGTAAGTAGCCTATCACAATTACAAAAGGTCCAAAATTGTACAGCACGGTTGTTGACTGGCAAAAAATGTAGGGAGAATGTTAATGCGGTCCTCACTGACTTCCTGTCTGGTATGGGATTGATTTCAACATCCTTTTATTTGTGTTTAAGTCCTTGAATAGTGGTGCTCCTACATGTCTGACTGATCTATTACATTGATATGTCCCGTCTCGTTCTCTCCAGTCGTCTGATCAGGATTTATTAGCTGTTCAGTCATTTAAGCTGAAGTCACGAGGGTGTCAGTCTTTTTCCGTTCAGGCACCAACTTTGCAGGAAGCTCTTCCAAGAAGCGTTGACATCTTTAAAAGTAAGCTAAAACCCATCTTTATTCTCTAATCTTTGGATCTTTTTAATGTCCTTTTAACATTTTAACTACTTTAAAAGGCTTGTACATTGTTTTTATGTTCAGCAGTGTTCAGCACCTTGGTGCAACCATTAGGTTGCATTGAAGTGCTTCATATATGAAATTGCTGATCAGATAACTCATTTAAAATGCTCCTACTCACCATGAAGACAAAGATGGCTGCACAGCACCACAGCAGAGAGAGAAAATACGCCAGCCTTCCGAACAAAAGACCTGCTACGACACCTACGATCATTCTGTGTTCATAAAAAAAAAATTAAAAATTAAAACACAGAGATGCAGCTTTAAAACAACAGTTAAACTTTTATTATGCCAACTAGGGATGTAAGTAGGGCTGGGCATCGTTTGATTAGAAACGATTCCGATTCTGGTTCCAATTCCTCGTTTTGATACCAGTTCCTATCGATTCCAGACTCCGATTTTTTGAAGACATGACATGTTTTACATGAGCTAGCTAACCACAGGTCCAACTTGATGAAATAATCTCAACTTCAACATGAATTTTAATTCTATGAACAATAACATCACCATCATTTAGACCAGGGATTCCCAAAGTGTGGTGCGCGAGCTGCCGCTAGGGGGTGAGCGAGGTGAAAAGTGTAATGGCTGCGGAGCTCAGAGAAGTCTGTCATATGTCACCATTAGCGTAGCCAGAAACTCATTTGTGGGTGCGCCTAAGAAAAAGTAAGTGGGCCCAATAAATGTAATTGAAAACAAGTATAGTTTTGCGCGTGTCCTCCGCATGTGCCCTAGCTTCATAATAACAATGCGCCGAGCTTCAGCACTCTGGTCTGCGCACGCCGATATGTTCCGTATTTGATCATTTTTAACGGTGTTGGAGGAATCTGAAGGTGGCGAGTCATTCTGGCAGATTGTAATTAACACCCTGTCTCATGCAGGTGTTCTGACATCGTAAACCTCACACACAGAACATTGTGGATGTAACAAAATAAATCAAGAAATGATTCCAATTCAGGCTATTAACAGCGCGCTGAAGATCTGAAGATCAGAGTGCGTCTGTCAGAGGTCAGACGCGTTCCAGCGGAACCACGGCTCACGGGTGCACAAGTGAGCACATCTGGGCTGGGCAGAAGTAATTTTACAACACTGGTTTAAATAGCGCCAATAACGAGACACGGTGACTTGAACGCTGCAAGTTGTGAAGCGCGTTCCATCCGCGAGCCGCATCACCAAGCAGAAAGTGAATGCGTCAAGCATAAACCAAGCTTCACGGAGCTGTGCCGCGCGTGTGCGCGCGCACACACACACACACACACACACACAGATTCAAGAAGCGCGCACGCTGCGCAAACTCCGGCGCGCCGTCAGACTGAAGGCAGAAATGAGCGCTGCCTCCTCCGTGATAAAAACTTTTAAGAGATTTTATAAAAACAGTTTTCATTCAAGGTCAAATTAAGATATTAGCTTCTATTTTGGGATGACGTATTAAAGTTGGGTCCGCTCCAGCCAGTGACTCCTCATGAACCTGACCACAAGTCCTGTTACTGCAGCATTCCTGTCCGCGTGGCAGCGGATCGCAGATTCAGCCACACCGCAAAAAGTCGGTCTGAGGCAAAAGTGAACCTCATGGCTATATCTTTATATTTTCCCCTATTGACATTTGATTACAAACAAGTAGGTGACCAGCTCAGGTTTATGCAGAGCAGAAGGAAGGAGAGCGCTCTGGCCACACAGGTTAAACGTTCCTACTTTAAGAAAACCGTTAAATTGCATTGTTGATGTGCTACCTGGGCACTCTAAATATTTATTTAAAATTAAATCAAAGGAAACTGTAATGGTATCGAATGTTTATTAACTACTATTTAAAAAATTAAAGTGATGCTGGGGCTGGGGGGTGCGTCGACATGGTCGGGACATAGAAGGGGGTGTGCGGCTAAATAAGTTTGGGAGCCACTGATTTAGACAAAAACATGTTTTGGAGAAAAAAGAAAAAGACTTGCAGCACAACCAGTGTGTTTGTTTCTGATCACAACCAAAGTCTGGAAGCAGCCTCTGGGATGAGAGGCTAAATGTCTCCAACATATCCAGAAACGTCCAGCTGTTTTCAGCTAAATCTCTCAGGATGATCATGTCCAGGATGACTGAGAACTACACCTCCATGCTGCAGCAGCATTCAGTCAGAACAGAAAGTGAAACCTAAATGTAGCTGTTGTCAGTAACAATCTAACAGATTTTAAACATTAAAACTCTCAACAGATGAGTGTTGGTGAGCGGCTGCGTCTGACTGCTGACGCTCCCGTGTGTTTTTATTTCTGCAGTGAGGCAAACTCACCTCACACCGTCCAGTTTGTTCTTTAAAGCTTTTATTAAATCCACTGTGTTGAAGTATTTTAACAAGTTTCCTCTACGCTGCAGGAATTAAAGTTTACATTACGGAGTAAAAGTTCGGCAAACGCGTTTGTTTATATCTGGCCGCTGCACGCCGGGTGTGGGGAGGGGGGACTCGGTGCTGATCAGCTCTGAAAAGTGTTGATCAGAATTTGCAGATCACATTTATTTTTCATGGAGATCGGCCGCGGATTCCTCTTCCGGTCGGCATACTAGTGTGGCAGGACTGGTTGGCGTCTAACTGCCCAACCTATAACTCTTAAAGAGAGCCTAGTATAAATGGGGGCGCTGTAGCGCCTCCCTCTCACTTGTTCCTTACCCCCTCCTTTGCGTGTCTGCTGTGGAGAGGACTTCCCTTTCTGTTGACCTGTATGAGGAAGTGTGCGGTCGTGTGTGAGACCTCGGAACACTTCAATTGTGAGTATGCCTAATCCCAGCGGGTGTAACATGGGAGTTAGTCTCTATTATTGCTCCTGCTCAGGGATCACTTGGATTCGGGCTCAGTCGGCGAAACGCACAGCGTTCCGTGGTTCCGGGTGGTCATCTGTTATCAGACGTGGTATGATCAGCCTGCTGCTTCCTCTCCACTCAGTTCATTTAAAACGTTAATTGTTTAGTGTCTCTTCTTCCTTTTTTAGAATTAGGAAAGGGTTTAGCATACCCTCAAAGAGACTCTGCTGTTTTGCTTTTGTTTGACTCCTGCTTTCATCCTGTCAGCGTTACCGCTCCTGCTGGTGTGGGTGTGCGGCGTCTGATCGAACAAGCGGCTCTGCCTCTGCTGGTCGCTGGGTGTGCCCCGCATTGTGGACTCGAACGAGGGGACAGGGTTTGGACCTGACCGCTGTGTTCCTGGCTGCTTGGAGCACCTCACAGACAAGTGGACATTTCATTAGCAGGAGCATCGTTGTGTGTGTGTGTGTATATGTGTGTGTGTGAGGCAATTAGCTCCCGTAATTGTGAGGGGCCTCACATTTCTTTCATTAACCGTTCTCTTTTGTTTACTTATTTTGACAGGCTGGTGGTGGTGGCCACGTCAGGGTGACGGTTCCAGTTGAGTTGCTCTTTGGGCATGTTTGCAGTTCTTCACTTCATGTTGGATTGGTTGCACGAGTGACTGGGGTGAACTTTGGGGTTTGTTGTTTTTTTTAGTTTATGGTTCTGTCTCTACTGAGGGATTCGGCACCTCCTCAGTAGCCTCAGCCTGCCTTTTTATAATTATTTTATTGCCATTTTGGCCTTTTAGTAATTAGTTTTCGCTTTTTTACTCAAGTTTTATTTATATTTCTGTTAATACATTTATGTCATTTGGGAACCCAGACTCAAGCTCATTTTTCATAAGAGTGGACCTATGTGTCCTTAACCTTTGTCCTTGGGTATCAAAGTGGCGTTGTTGTTGTTACAGTAAGAACAGAAACACTTGTTCCTCCCCAGTCTAGGAGGAACACGTATGGGCCATTCCCATCTGTACCGGGTCGGCCCGGACCGGGTAGCGTAGGTTGTTTACATATCTGGGTGGCCTGGTATTTTACCGGGCCAACCAAGGCTCATTCTCAGCCCTCTTCTCGAGGGGGTCTGCTTCAGGCCGACCAGGGCCAACACACCCACTGCTGACAGCAAATTCACACCTTCCATTAGAGCAAGTCGGCCAGGCTGGGGCCGACTGGGGCTACCCGGCCCGGTACAGATGGGAATGGCCCAGTAGACTGGTTCCGGCCTAGCGTTGCACTAGAGCCGTGTGTATCCCCAGCTCCTAGCCCTGCTCGCCACACTAGGAATCGAAACTAGGAATCTAAATAAAAAACTTTGAGCAATACCGGGAAAGACTAAACGTTGGTACCGGTTCCAATCGATGCTCGATGCCCAACCCTATGTCGGAAAATATCGATATGGCAATGTATCGCAATATTTTTTCCAGCGATATTATATAGATATTCAAAAGCCGTGGAAGAATTTTCATGCAAAATTTGTGTATTTTCTTTTCTGTTGGTGTAATTCAAACACCGACCACTAGTTGGCAGCAGTGTGCACTGGGTTTTGTTTCCACCATTGAAATGTAAATCCCTCTATTTTGGTTCAGATACCTCATGTTACACATCTTAAGTATCAGTTTGGACTGTTTATTGAATTTTCCTACAATAATTGTAGTAAAAAAAACGCTTTATATCGTCTGGCTGAATGTATGCATTATATCGTCTCCCCTGTATCGTAATACCTATCGTATTGCCAGAATTTCACCAATACACATCCCCAAAGCCAACAGTTAGTCAGTGACTTGATGCAATGTGCTGGGTTCCTTATATAGGAAGCATTATTTCTGATTGGCTTAATGAACTGACCTGAATTGGAATGTTTATTATGTGAGGTGCCTTGAGATGACTCTTGTCGTGATTTGGCGCTATATGAATAAACTTGAATTGAAAGTTACACATGCAGGAACATACCCGACATATTTGTAGCCAGAAAAGGCCAACAGGTCAATGGTGGTGAGGTCTGTGTTGACGGTGATGAGGTAAAGTGACAGCAGGACCAGCAGGACTTCCATGATCAACCACACCAACGCTGAGCTGGCCTGAACTCCCAGCAGCTCCGGAGAAAACCTGACAATTAGAAACATCCAATTACCTTCCTGTTTCTAATCATCATCTAGTTTTTCACATTTATAAAAAATAAATGTAAGAACCAGTACGTCTGCTATAGTAAACACAGCAGAGATGGGTTACCTAGATTTAACAGTAAGATGACCAGATGTGTACCTGTTCTGTGTGCCAAGGGCCAGTCCAGCCACCAGGACGTAGGTGATGAAGCCCATGGCTGGGATGTAAAGATCTGGGGCGTTTACATCAAAACGTGGAGCAACAGGTGTGTCCTGCTGGTAACTCACTTCCCAATTCTAAAAACACACAAAGCCACAGGATCTGCACCTTCAAACTCAAGGGATGAATGTGTAGCGTCCAGAAATGGACAGTTTTTCATCTACAGTTGACCTCTCCAGTATCGGGTCGTATAGAGACATAACCCCGGCTTTCCACGGGAGCCGTCAGCAGCACGTTACTGCAGCAGCACGTCATAGCTGCTGATAGGAACCGCTGTGGTCAACAGAACCTTTTCCACTGGAGCCGTCGGCAGCCGGCAGCAGCGCGAGTCGGCCGCGTCTCAGGAGCAGCATGTCGCGGCCTTTACGCGCCGGTTCTATTTCCTACGCGCGACGCCTCTGAAACGGGGCAAGTTCGACATTTTTGGGGAAGGAAAGACAGGAAATCGGACGCGGAAATGGAGAGAAGCTCCCGAGATTTTCAGAATAAAGAACGTACTGCCTTCCGGTCGCTTTACTTTAAAAAAGGTTACTAACTGTGCGGCCCCGTGAGAAGTTATCACCTAGCTAGCGGTCTCCTTTGTTTTTCAGGTCCGTATTGGCGATTATAAAACGGACAGAACATAAAAACACAAATATTTTGGAGCCATGTTGTAGTTTTCTCCTGCTTGTTGTTGTGTTTACTGACGAAGTCACTCGTGTGACTTCGTGCTCTGTCGGTGACAGTTGCTCCCCTGCTGATTCGCGTCTCGTGGGAAGGGCCAAGCAGCAGCTTACGCGAGCAAGACGTGCTGCTGCAGTAACGTGCTGCTGACGGCTCCCGTGGAAACCCGGGGTAAGTCTTAACTGGAACCTAGGGCTGTCACAATAATCGCAAGAACAATATATCGCGATATTAAGAATCCCACCGCGCAGCATGACGTGCCACCGCAATTACCGCACTTGATTAAATCTCGCGACAGCGCATGCTGAGATGTAAAGTCCGGCTGATCGAGGAGACAGTAGGGCACTTTTTTTTCTGTTAGATGTTGCAGCCAAATTTGCAATTCAAAGTTAAACCTCCTGAATTTTGTTTTTAAGTTCAGTCAGAGAATGCCGTTACTGCCCTTTGATCTGCATTCAATAAAGTGTTAAAAATGGCCATGTACTTTTTCTAACATTTTTTAAATGTGTAAGCACAATGTTTCAAAGGAAATATTGCCATGAGTTTAGTAATTAACAAACAAATTTGCTAAGTACATAAATAAAAACGGGGTGCAATAATATCGCATATCGCAATATTGAGCTGCCCTGACTCACCGCAGGGGGAATTCCTCAATCGCGACAGCCCTACTGGAACCTTTAATCTGCAAGAAAGACACTGTTGCCTGGCCAAGGTCCCCCTCAAGTTGCCTCTTATCTTTATCTGCTTTGCTTCACGGAACAAGAAGAACGAACTTTTATAAGAACAAGCCGTTATAATAACGAATACTGAATGATGCAATGGAATACGTAAATAATCATATGGGTGAATGAATAATAATGTTTTGATTAATCTGTGCTTAAATTACTGAAGTTGAAATGAATATTATGTTGTGATCAGTAAAGTTTGATTTAACAAGTGAATCACTACCTACTGACAGCTCACACACTCAGACACATGACGATAACAAGGTTAAACTAATCTCATGACACCATTGCTTTCTGTTCCACAAATCAGAGCTCCTGTATCTGATGCGAGGTGTGGTTTCTGAGGTTTGCTGGCAAAACCCCTTTACTTGTAAGATTCTGACTTGTCAGTAAATTGAAATATGGTGATTATTAAAACAGAACTCACTTCCTAGTGAGTCGGTTGAGCCGAACTCTGACTGGCCATTGGGAGGAAAACTCTTCTCCCAACGCATCTTTTGACAAGCTGTCAAAACCTGTTGCACGCTACAGCTGACCGCAAACGGTTCCTTCAGAACAAAGCTGACCAGCTCCGACTCCTTAAGAGCCCTTCCATCGATGCAAATAACTAACTGTTGTGACCCGGAGACAACTCTAAGACCGGTCTAGTGGCACTGCGGTCTCTTCTACGGACTTCGGTACCTTTGGGGTCCACAGACTTCAACGCATTCCAGATCTACCACGAGGGTCTTCGAGAGGGTATGTAGATACGACAGAATGCATCTGATGTGGTTTTATAAACCCTCAGTGTATAGCAGACCACTCAGAACTCAGTTTCTCCAGATACGAGGGTTCTGATAACATCACATTCACACATCATCACACCTCACATTCCAGCCACGTAGATTCATCCATCACATAAAGTGTTTCCTAGTTGTCATGTTTTCAATTGTTTAGAAAATAAATTTCTTACTTTTTATAAGCTTGACTCTGCCTGAATTAGCACATTCTCTGCCAATGACGACAAAAGTCGTCATTTGCATTTTTTTACTGTTTGAGCATCGGAACGAGCCCCCGCGCTGAGAGAACAAACATCTCAGCCCTGAAGCCGATCTTCATCCGCATACGTCACAGATCACATGATCAGGAAGCAACACATCCATGTGTTTGGAGATCGTTTTGGGCCGTTCCTGTAAAAAAAGTGAGGCGCGAACCGGAAAAACGTCTGCCGATCACAATTCAACAACGGATTATGAAAGAACGGATAACGCTCGAAACACGCGGCTTCTTCCTGATGTAAGAGGTGAGTCTCCTCTTTGTTTTGGTTGTTTTGGCATCGACATCATGCTAGCGCGCAACGTTCTGTGACACTTAAAAAAACAGTAAAAACGGTGAGAAACGCTGGCAGCGAAGGGCGTTAGCGATCAGGAAACGGCTGGCAGTGAATGAGTTAATACGAAGTGTCTTACAATCCCTGAATAAACAAAGAAATCTAATTCTTTTGGTTAAACATTCAAACATCAATCAGGCTGAATTTCCATATGTATATAGAAAATCACATCTTATTGGTCAAATGTAGTGTAGCATATTGAGCTTAAAAAGCACCCAAAGTACATACGTATGCTAACTCTACAAATGTTTTATAGAGCAAAAGTTTTTTAAATAATTCCTGAGAATATTTCATTTTGTCCAAATCGGAACTATTTATGGGGAATTCCTGCTGACTTGCTCCTCTACACACACTGGTCAGCCTGCTAAAACTCATGCATGCAGTCCAAGCAGAAGCAAACTTACTTTGTGCATGTAAGGAAAAACTAAAAGTCCAAGTTTCTTCCCGACATAAACCGTGTCAACAGCAAAGTAGTATTTCAGTTTCGAGATTGGGATGAATCGGTCCAACTGAAACACAAACATTAATAATCTTAGGCTTTTCATGTAAGATTATAACAGAACAGTTTTAAAATTGACTTCATACAGGACAGATCCTAATAAGTTACATTTTTACAAATACACAACCATGAGCTGGTCTTACATTCTTGTCCACCATGTCCTTCCCCTGAGACGCCAGTGAGCTCCCATACGTCATAGCCAGACTGGACATGGGGTCTGACAGGAAGGACTGACCAGCATACCATGCTGCCTGAGGTCCAGCTGGCTGGTTCCTGCTAACGTGAAATAAGAAAGTGATCAACCCTGAAGTCATGTTTGTGAAACAAATGCTGCCAGACACTAAAACAATGCTGACACTATAAAATTCAATGTTTTTATTTGGCTGGTGGCCATAACGTGGTAGTTGGTGTCTGAATGGTTTTAAACTCCTTTGATGGCGTTTCTGTCTTCTTTGTGCCTCCTACACCTGCGCTCAGCCAGCAGCCCTTTCTCTTTTACGTGTGTGTGTGAGTTTGCATCTACTTGGGATGGGATTGAGGGTGGGAGGAGAGAGATACAAAGGGGATCTCGTATGTGAATCTGTGTGGGAGGGGTGGGAAACCGACTGCTGTCTGATTGTTTTTAATATTGTAAAGCGCTTCATAAATAAATTTCATTGACTGAAACTCTACCAAGTTATACCTGTAGGCTCCAGGGCCAGATCCACTCATATCTTCAAACAGCTGGCTGCCATCTGAAACATCTGCAGAGCTGTTCCTCAGACGCGTACTGGGCTCTGTGACAAGAGTTTACAGAAAAACAATGAAGTAGATTTCATGTCGGACATTTTTTGAAAGAATGCACTAAAAACATCACAAAGAGAAACAACTTAAAGGAAAATAGTAAAACAAGCAATAATCACTACAAAGCTGGTATTTGTCCAAAATTTCTATTGAAATTTTAACCAATTATAGATTTGATTACTTTGTCATCTATATTTTTTATTAATTTAAAGGTTTCTGCACTAAAACAGAACCTAACAACTTATAAATAATATAAATGCAGAGGCTCATTTGACAACTCAACTCAACATTACCAGTAAAGTATTAAAACACAAAGATCAGCTGACTATATTGGCCAATTGTTGAGTTTTATCAGCAAATAAAAACTTGTATTTGGTTTCTCGTCTCTAAGCTCCTATGTTGATCCTTTCTTGGTTTATGAACTCCACTGCTAACAAATAACTAATATATTAGTTTTTCCTCAGAGAAAAAAACACACACACGGGCGTGCGCGATGGCATCATCCTTCGGAGCCACAACGTATAATTTTAAACCCGTGTGATAAAAAATTAAATCTGTAACACGACGTTCAAACTGCCACTATCCCAGGAACTAAATAGTTATTGTTTTGTTTTATGATGCGTTTTATTTTGAACTATTCCCTCCAAATGCCTCCAGCCTATATTCTAAAACATCACCGAAGCCCTATAGTAACCCATAACATGTGCAGCACACATAAATACAACATGAAACCAGATTCTGACTCGACGAGATAACAGAAACGACAAAGTAGCAGGAGAAAACCCACATCAGAGCAATTCCAAGTAGCAAATATTAGCCACCGGTGTTGTGATAAACACTCTAGCTTCACTTGACCCTGAATCTCAGTTGTTTTCATGAATAATATTTTGAGATATAATCAAATAAAACATCTTAATTTTGCCGCTTTTGAATATTGTAGTAGAAGCACATCCTCATGACTTGGGGTGAACAAATCTTAGTAAATCCACCAGACTCAACCTTACATTAGCCACTTAGCAGTACAGCAATAACACGTAATAGTTTTATAGTGGAACTATGGACTACAATTGAAAGACACTCAACGCAGGTTACGTTTTTGTGGCTTTTATATGTTGTTATTTATTATTAGCATCAACCGGCTTAGAACAACAAGCTAACTTTCCCTTCAACTCCTGAAACCCACCACTCCCTTCAGTCTTCCAGCAAATGTCGACAGAATTACGTACGTAACTTACGCTGTCTGAACCCACTTTGAGAAGCGGTATAATCCATTTAAACTGTCTTTTAAAAAAGCAGCAGTTTTCTGTAAGTTAACTCCAATCAGTTCGAGTTAATATAAGTTAGCAAGCTACACGTAAAAGTTGAACTCATTCATATAGTGACCCGGAAATGAATGTCTCTTCATCTTCTTAGTCCTGGGAGATCAGCGGCTCGCTGCTGCCCCCTACGGTTAGACATTTATAATGCGTCAAGGCAAAATTCAATGTTCCGTTTTTCCCCTCAGTTTACAGTTTACAGTTTACTTTATCTCAGATTTAAAACATAAATCTCCCATCTGAAAAACGGTTTAAATGTTTTTCTGATATTTTCTTTTTGCTCACTTCCTGTCAGGATTATTCCACATTATGACGATTATTGAATCCATGATGCCCAGTCTCCACTACATTTTCCACAGTTAGAGTTCTTCACCTTGGTTTAGGTGAGTACTTAGCAACTTTTTCATATTTTTAAACCACTTTCTTGAGCTAGCATCCGCTAAAATGACCTTTTACAGGTTATTGTAAGGCCACCACCATCGCCTCATGGCAGAATATTCCTCTCGCAATTACAGAGTGGTAGGCTGCCCGGTAGGGACTTGCATACTTTAGAACATGAACACAGCTGATTAGTTCAATTTAGTGATGATTCACTCCTGTAGACACTACTAAAGGCTGGGGAAACATTTCAGATGTGAGATTAAGATAGATAGATTTTGCTTTCATTTTTACAAAAATGACACAGGATGCTAAAAGCAAGCCAAAACTACCTAGTTCCCCCTTAATGTCTGGCCTTCGGGATTAAAGTGTTTTCTGCGTTCTGGCGGACACATACACTGCCGGTGGTCGGGTTCCACTATGACACTCCGGACGTCCATCTAGTCCCTGACCTGTGCGTGTGTTCTCTCACTCAAGGCCTTCACGTCCTTTGTCCACGTGTCCCTTTTGTGCTATTGGTGAGATGGTGAGAGATTCTAAATGTCCCGTGACAGTTACACCCCGACTGCACGTGCTACAGACTACTGCAGTTATTGTTGGTCGGCGCTGGTTAGTCAATACCCCCGCGCTTGAAGCCGACATCTACTATAATCCCCACAATGTGTCCACTCAGGTTGAGCTGCCATCCCAAACTCTGTGAGTGTCAGTCTCTCATGGTGATGGTCCATATTGGTGAGGTCTCTCTATGTTATTTGGATCCAGATGAACACAGATTTGTTGAAGAGTTTTCTCATTTCTATTATAACATCCCCTTTGCTCTTTCTCCCGCTATGGTGAAACGTGTTATGTTCAACGGTCCGACCATGGTTCAGGTTAGTGCGGTAGACAGGGTACAGCGTGAGCTCTCTTCAGGTTCTGGCCTCAGCTTTCAGCCTGTGACTTACTCCTGCTCCTCCTCTGACTCTGAAGTAACACTATGAACTAGACCATCAATTTGGGAAGGGCTAGAAATGAAAAGATTGCCCTCTGTTAAGTTCCTTTGAAACACTGACGACAGTAAAGATGGAACGGTTGATTTAAAAGATGCAACAGCGTTGTCAGTTAGAGACCAACTATAGTGACATTTACATTCACGTCTCCAGAACTCAGTAATGAAAAACTCAAAGGTTATCAAAAAGTGGTCCAAGAGGACTGGATTATGTGGAAATATCATTATTTCCTCACACTCTATGCCATGAGTCAGCACAAGGTCTAATGTATGATGGTAGGAGTGGGTGGAGCTATGTATTCTTTGGGTTAAACCAATTGAGTCTAAGAAATTACTAAAGGCTGCATTTTCAATGTCCACATGAATGTTAAATAAATGATCCAGGAAGAGTCACTCAGGTTAATCCTGCTTTAACCGTACATAACTGGTCCATATATGTTTTGATATGTAAATAATTGAAACACATTATAAATAATCTTGTCTCCTTACCACCTTTTCGTTTTCTGTTCATGTAACATGTTCAAAAACATATGTAATAATAAAACTGGTGATAAAATCAAAGACCAGAAAGAGTTATCAGTTAGTATTTGCTTTAATAAACGTGTTAAAATATCAAACAGCTAAATAACTTTAACATGATAACAGTAGAAGGCCTTTCTCCCAGGAGGACCACCAGGTAAAGCCTCTCCTGACCCTGGACACCTGCAGCCCTAAACAGAGAAAATCAGAGACCACAGGTGACAAAAAGACAATAAACACATGTTTACATTTATCCACATGAGAAGATAAAAATAACATTATTCACACAAACAATTTTTACTTCATTAAAACAGGTCAGCTGTGTAAATCCCTGAATGTAAAACTACTTTTCACAGCAGAACGCAGAACTACTGTGGTTGTGTGTAGACAGCTTCACTCTTTACCTCTAAGCTTAATGAAAACGCTTCTTTGCTCTGTTGTCCCTAAAACAAATGACAAGTTTAATTCGCCACACACACACACACACACACACACACACACACACACACACACACACACACACACACACACACACACACACACACACACACACACACACACACACACACACATGCACAGAAAGATAAGCAGACAAACAAAGACTTCCTTTGATCTCTTAATTGCTTACATCGACAGTTAACGACCGAACTGCATGTGGTTACATTCGTCTGCTCCCTCAGGCCCTGTCCACACGTAGCCGGGGATCTGCCAAAACGTAGATATTTTTCTACGTTTTGGCCTGTCATCCACACGAAAATGGAGTTTTTTCACACGAAAACGGATCTTTTTAAAAACTCCGGCCAAAGTGAAGATCTGCGTTTTCTCCGTTTTGGGTGTCTGCGTGTGGACAGACAAAACCGGAGTTTTAAGGTCCGCAACGTCACTTTCCGCGACAAAAAAAATGCTGACATCACGTGTGCGACCTGTGTTTACACTAGCCGGCATCACGGAAGCCTTCAGAGCTGCGCTCTGTCACTACCCGATCCATCAATTGTCCAAGCGCTTTCTGCTTGTTTGTTTTTGCAAGAGGAATTACTGCTCCTTGCGGAAGACCACAGACGAAGGACGAGGTTAAGACCGGGGGAAGTACTGCCGCCTACGGGTCTGGCATGTCCTTAACAACGTATTTAACTGGGTACGTGTGGACAGAGTTTGTTTTTAAAACGCGGTGGTGTGGATGCAAGTTTTTGGAGGGGCGGATATTCGTTTTCAAAAAACCCGGCTACGTGTGGACTAGGCCTCAGATTTCAGTTTTTAGGTCTGGAAGAGAGCATCGCCATTTAAATTGTACTGCACCAATTTGAAAAATTCAAAAAGCGTGTGCGGCGGAAGGCTTTGGTGGTCATCTGTGTGAATTTTTGTGTGCCTACCTAGGATTGTCTAGAAGCTATGACGAGAACATTTAGCTGTCTGAAGCGGAATGGAGGAGAAAATCTCTGTTTCTTTAGAATGGAAGTCAGTGAGACAAAATTTGGGTCCCTCCTTTTGAGGCTCGTAGCACAAAAACCGTAACATCTACAGAAAAACCAAAGACATCGCTTTGAAGCCAACAAAAAAAAAACTACTCTTTTTGATAAAATCAAAAATGTACTACGAAAGATGTGGTCGTATGAGACAACTCTCTCTATGATGTTACATTTTTAAAGAATCTTGGCCTTCACTCAAGATCACATGACTTGTACAGTGAGGAGACCATTGACATATAAATATTGGACAATGAGTTTCCATAGGCTCCAATAACACGTTTTTGAAGAAAAATGGGAGGTGGCCACCACCGCCATTTTGACCGTGTCACAGGTTCCGTCAAGCCCAGACAATTCCACAAAACGGAAGAGAGGTGGAGCTGAGTGTGGGGCTGTAAGGCTGGGATCAACTGACGACACCCAGTCGAACTAGCTACAAGCTATCCTGAAGCTAACCCAAAGCTACCGCAGAGGTGGGAGCTAAGCTAACGGAGGTAGCAACCTAGCTACAACCGGAGTTAACTGTGCACAACACCAGAGCTTCTGAGTCAGAGATACGCTGGGCTGACCGCTGGGTAAAACCGGATGGAACACAGAGATCTCCCGAGAGCTCCACAAGCCGGCAGCCGCACAGCAGACAAGCGCCGCTGCGATCTGAGATGTGCAGAGCTGCCGCTGGGGAGAACCAGGTGGAAAGGTTTCCATCCCAGAGCTCCACAAGCCGGAAGCCCACACAGCAGACAGAAGCCGCGATCAGACAGAGATGCGCCGAGCTGCGGGGAGGGGAGAACCAGGTGTTAAACATCGGTCTCCCGAGAGCTCCACAAGCCGATAGTCGGAAACCAGCTCCACCAACATGTTATTTTTCAACCCATTTTCTAAAGTGCAGCATTATGTTAAATGCACTGGGTTTTACCCTATTACATTTAAATTTCATGGTTAAACAGTACATGTTAAAATCTAAGCTCAGCTCGGCAGTGACCTAAAATACATAAATATAATTTTACTTACCGAAAACAATGAAGTGGAGACTCCTTGGATGCTCTATTGGTGAAATTAATGCCACAGCAAGTCATTTTGTCCAACAATTGCACAAAAATATCCAAAAACGAATACACAAATGTTACAACTAATGGTCTAAGTTTGAGAGACTGAAAATGACTGAACAGTTTTCAGACTGAGGCCTTTCCCCGGAGCTAGCTCTGTGGTCACGTGGGTCTGAGGCGGCGGTCACGTGTGTCGGATGTTCATTAATTATACAGAATTTTAGGCTTTTAATACACTTAAACAGAAGAGTGAGAAAAAATTCACCCCCCTCAGAGTTGTCATGAGTGTAAACTAGATCATTTAAACAAAAAAACATGTTTTGGAACCAGGCTGTAAACATGTTTATTTCTGCTGTGAAATTGGTATTTTTAACATGGGAGTTAATGAGGATTTGCTCGCTTCTGACACCAGCCCCCAGCGGATGAGGGTGGAACTGCAATTTATTTCATTTCCGCGTTTTCTTCAATTTTTCACCCGCACTGTGGGGGCTTGGGGGAGACAGAAACACTATCTCTAACATTCTCTAAGAAATGAACACGACCACCACAATTTTTTAAGTAACTTCACAATTTATACCTCAAAACTGAGGTATATTCATCAGCTCTCATCCGGTGCAAGTTTCATTTTGATAGGACCTACAGTTCTCCCAGGAGAGTGCCTGAAGTGGAGCAAAGTCGGGTCGGCACCCCTATACTTTTCCATTGTAGGAGGAGGAGAAATTTCTGAACGTTTCTAAAATGTACCTAAAACATAAACTGCGATTGTTGACAAACTGTAGAAGATATCAACAAGCGGAGTCATACAGAAATAGCTGAAAGTCTTGTGACCGTTTTAATGCTTGAATTAAGTCTATAGGTTAAAGTATGCCAAACTTGTTAAAGTTCAAAGAGCTCAAAGGATTTTGTGAAAAATCTGAGGATTTGAAGGATTTCCCATGTATTCTAACGAGACCAAAAATCGCAGAAAAAGCTGAATATCTCAAAAAGTATTAAATATTTTGATACCAGAAGTCATTCTACTAAAGAGCTGGGGCCTCATTTATCAAGCTTGCCTACGCACAAAATGGTGTCGGAAAACTGCATAAGCAACTTTCCATGCAAACTTTGGGATTAATGAAAGAAAACTTAGCGGAAAAATGTGCGCTATTTTAAGTTGACTAAGGACCTAGCTGACGCACATTTTGGACATGGAGAGCACCTGAAGTGCTGCTGCTGAGAAGGATAAAATTATGAAATCCTGCAGTATTATCACTTGGCTTCGTTTTCACACAGAACAAGACACCCCACACGCACACACATGCACGTACACACACATGTGTGCACACTCACGCACACAAAGCCTGAAGCGCAGAATACAGATGGGACAGATTGAGACAGAATGTCATGCATCTGTGACAGTGTGTGTCCTGTCACTGTGACTCGATTGATCATGTGCCCTGGCTACTTGTACAGGGGAGATCTCTGTTTGGCTGACTGGTTAGCGCATGTGAATTTCACCTGGGAGTCTGGGGATCAAACCCTGATTGGACCATTTTTTATATCCGCCACAGATCTCTCTGAAGAATTCACAACATTGACAGCTTCAGCAACGTTGTGCCAATCCGTGGATTTTCTCTTATTTGTTTTGCAAAAGTGCTTCCTTTCATTTCTCCACCTCACCCACAGGTACATCAACTTCTGCTTATGAAATTGTGCTTCCTTGATCTGCCTTGATCTACGGTCGCCATTGTCATTGGCGGAGTGCTGCAACAGCCGGCTTATGTATATGCATGAGAGCCACAAGGCACTTTGCCGTGACTATTTATGGCAATAAGTGGGCGTGGTGAGGGCGGGATGTGACTAAACTGCAGCTGAGAAATATTCTCGTTAGTCTCCGATTTATGAAGCGGAAATTGCGTGCAGCTGTGCGTACTCCATGTTTGATAGATCACAAACCTACTTGGCGTAAGTACATTTTTTTTTTTGCTGAGCTTAAGTACGGTTTTAGTAAGGATTCTACGCAATATTTGATAAATGAGACCCCTGAACGTTTTGATACCAAAATTGTGTAAATAGCTGAAGAATTGTTGAAGGAGTTAAATGCCAAAAAATGTATGTAAGCAGATTAATAATAAACTATAAAGAGAAACAGGAAAACAATAGTTTGAATGCTTAACATCATTCAAACAAGAAGCATTAATGATGAACGTAGGATTAACCTGGGATAATTCCCCCTACACCATAACAAAAACAATGTTTTATTTTATGATGGGTTATATTTTGAACCATGTAATCCAAATGTCTCCAGCTTTCTTGTACAGGTTATATTCTGAAACATCAGCGAAGCCCTACAGTAACCCAGCATGAGCAGCACACACAAATACAACATGAAACAACAGAAACAATGGAGTAAAGCAGCAGAAGATAACCCACATCAGAGCACTTACAAGTACCAAATATTAGCCACTGGTTGTTGTTTTGAATAAAATCAGAGGCCTGACACACACTGGCACCACCGGTCCCTCCGACCACCACCAGGCGAAGGTTAGGTGTCTTGCCCAAGGACACAACAGCAGAGCTCTCTGGCAGGAGCTGGGATTAAACCTACAAACTTTCAATTGCAGGACAACCCACTCTACCTCCTGAGCTACTGCTAATGTAATCTTTTTTTTACAAAATACACCAAAATTCAATACATCTATTTTAATCATCAGTGTTAAATAAGATCAGTGAGCTAAAGCAGGAGCTATCAGCAGCTAGCTACAGTGCTGCAAACACATCAGATCATCCATCAGAGCATTTTGGTTTTAGCAAAAAGTGAGTACAGCATCTTTTTGCCTCTGAAATATAAAATCTGCCCTAATATCACTTTATTTCTTGCTTATAGAATTTATTCTACTCAACAAAGCACACTGGGGCCTTTGCATCACTCTAGTTAACCCCAAATTGGTAAAATTGGTCATTTTTTGCCAAACCTAATGCTGTTTGTGCCTTTTGTCCATTCTTAGGAGCTGATCATTCTTCCTTTAGATTCATGCATTTGTGCAGATGCTTTGGTCCAAAGTAACCTACAATTGGGGATGTAACAATACAGATAATATCAAAGCTAACAAGAAGGAAGACTGCTGGTTATGCTCTGTCAGGGGGGACATGAAGGACAGTGAGGAACTGTTGTGCAAGTATAGAAAGGAGAACGTAAAGAGAACATTTGCTTATCAGAAAGGTTTCCCTGCTTCCTGTTTTTAAATCTCTTTTGAAATTGACTATTTTCAATGACCTTTGATGCAGTGTGATGTTAGATTTACTCTCTTCTTATCTTTTTACCTTTTTGAGTTTCATTACTTTTGTGTTTCTTTATTATTTTAACTCTGTGGTGATATTTCATTCGTTCCTATTGCTGTTATATATTAATTTTACTTTTGCACAGCATGGTTTAATTGTTGGGTTCTGACTGTGCTATATGAATAAACAGGAGAGAATCATAAAGATAGAGCAGTAGGGTAGGAAGCTGGGTCTGGTCTGCAAGAGCTTTTGGAAGATAGACTTGTCGTCTTTTCTGGTGACAGAACCACTGACCTGCTGGGCCAGTCTTCATTCCAGGATGAGCCAACTGATGCCTTATTTTTTAGTTCTGATGAGCACTTGGAACACAATTGCTGAGCAAACAAACACTTGAGTGTAAAATTTTAAGTTCCATTGCTCGTCACACCCTGGTGAAACTTGTTCCCCACATTTGATCCATCGTCTGGGGAGTGGTGAGCTGCCGACATGACTGAACTTTTTGGTGGTTTAACCCCCCGAACAAAGGATTGTCAAGCAGGAAGGCACTGGGTTCCATTTTTAAGAGTCTTTGGTCCAACTGTGGATGTGAACCCACATGTTTCTCCCAGTCTCAGGGTGGACACTCATACCACTAGGCCACTGAGCCAATAATTATTATTATTAGTGAACTTTTAGCTAATGCAGAAAATAAGTGGAGGCAATTTTCATATTCAACCTGCTTGTTAAACTTAGAGATTGATCTTTTTCTAAATTAAAGAGTAAAAAAAAAAGGTTCTCAGTGGAAGAGCTTTTTAGGAAATCTAGTTTGAGCTGGCAACGTCCACCCATACCCCACAGCTGCTATAGGCTTATAAGCTCCGATATCCAGGAGTGGATCTTGCACAATAGTGGTGGTTATATTCTTATTTCTTCATGTGTGATGTCCAGTGATGGGAATAATGCTGTTTAAAATAACAGCGTTACTCAAAATAACAGTTTTTTCAGTAAAGAGTAATCCAACTAATTACCATCTTCTTTTATCATAACGCAGTTTCCATTACTGATGAGGAAATGCGTGCGTTACTAATTCAGCAGCGCAGTGTGTTGAAGCCGTCACTAGCTGATTGGGAGCTAATGAGGCAGATGTTTTCATCCAAGCACATCACAGCCTGTGAAGAACGAAGAAGACATGATGAATAGTCTACAGCTGCAGACCTGCAGATTCACTGCTGCAGGCGTGAGTCTGCAGCCACGCCCTTCTCGGCGTAACAGCGGGACGTCCTGAAGGGAACCCATTTTCTTGCATTCTTTAATGAAAAAAAAAGTAATAGTAGTTATTTCTCTTGATAATGAGTTACTTTTATAATCTTGTAACTTGGAGAGTAACTGGGTTACTTTTTTGACAAAGTAATCAGTAACTATAACTAATTACTTTTTTAAAGTAATGTTCCCAACACTGGTGATGTCACAAATGGGGACTTTTGGAATTGGGTTTTTGTAGTTACATAATTCCCAATAACTAACTACGGACAGAAAACAGATGTTTTTTGTGTGTTTATAGAGATAGAGACCCAAGTGGCCACAAACAAAGGATGCAAAAGTGAGTTCAGCACAATATGCATAATAAGCATAATATGTCCCCTTTAAATTTTGTCTGCAGAATGTTTTTATAGTTGATATTGTGTGTCCCCTGACCATACACACGTGAAAATGGCCTCCCCATCAATGGGTAGATCTTTTCCTCCAGTGTATGTAGGTTCATGCTGTAACACTGAACTCCATTTTGGACCCATGTGTTTGTGGTTAATGCTTTAAGTCCTGGAATACCTTTTGTTAACTAATTGTGAGACTAAGAATAATGTATACAACTCCATAGTTAGCTTCAAACTGACAAAATAAAACATGTTAAAATTTTTAAAGGCTGTTGTGCAGGGTATGTGTGCTTAGTTTAGTGTTGATCAGTGTTTTTTCAGTTTGGTGGGAGGCAAAAAGTTCTAACATTGTCATTTAAATTGTGAAATAAGCAACTGTTTGGCAAGTTTTACTTGATATGGAGATGTTTGTCAGTGAAGCGTTGATAAGATCTTTGCTTTCTTTCTTCCTTATTTTTGATCACTGGAATTGCTATAAATACTTCGTCCTTCACCCGTTTCATAGCTTCCTTACCTGAGATCCATTCTTCACACTCAAAGACTTTCCTTAACCTGAACAGGTGAACAGTTGCAGCAGAGCAATTCAGTCTGAATTCAATTTGTTGTCTTTGGTTTCTGTTCTTTTATAAACTTTATTGCAGAGCTGTTAAAGTATAAGTCAGGCCGGTCGCAGTAACATCTGTCACCCTTTAGGTACAGAATTGCTCTGGTGTTTTTGCTGTTAACGCTTTTGGTCCTGGAAAACCATTTTTTTAAACTAATTGTGAGACTAACAATAATGTATACAACTCTCTGAATTGAACAGATGGGTGCCCTGACCTGGATAGTGCTGGTGGTCCTGCTGTCAGCTGGAACCTGTCTATCTGCTGTCGATGTGAACTGGCTGACCAAGGTGGTTAAAGACCTCACAAATGAGTAAGTTCTGTGTGCATTTTATAATATTTACTTTTATCACAGGTGAGATTTTTAATATATACGTTTCTCTTGTCCACTACAGAACATTTACGTTAACACAACTGCTGACAAAGATTTAAAAAGACTCCATCTGCTGATGCTCTAAGAGATGATTCTGTCATTAAATATATAACCTAATCATGCAGATGCTCATCTGAGATTTTAAATTAAAGATAGTTAAAGTTCATGTGATCTTATTACTGAGGATGGCTTCAATGTGCAGTCAGCAAAGTAGACACAAATATTTTATTTATTACAACAGCCGAAACACACACTGTTTTGATGTTTTTAGATTCTTTTATCTAAATCAACTCCAAAATGAAGCTCCAACATTATTGATGATATGAAAAGTAACAAAGAAGGATGACTAGTCATGCTTTGTCGGAGGTGACAGTGAAGAAGAAGAGAGCAAACATGGAAGGGACGTGCACAAAGAAAGAGAAGTGAAGAATAGATGCTAAAGGATGAGATGCTCTCTGAAGAGCTGGGTCTGTTTGGAAAGTTTCCACTTGTATAGCACCTCTCTGAGGCAGAGGACTCTGAAGTGCTTTTTGCTATAGAGTGAATTGTTCCTCCAACCAGCACCAGCAGGCAAGTAGGGTGAAGTGTCTTGCCTAAGGACACAACAGCAGAATTCCCTGCAGGGAGCAGGGATCAATCCTGCAACCCTCTGATTGCCAGACAACCCGTTCTACCTCCTGAGCTACTGCTACCCTGAATGGCCCTGCCCATGGATCATTTAAGTATAAAACTGGTTTGTGTCATAATTTTTTATTTTCTAATGTTTGCAGATACAGAGTTACTGGCCAGTTTAGTCTGGCAGCAGGCATCCCACTGGAAGGAGACGTGCAACAAATCCTGAAGAACAACCCTTATGTTAAGGCAAAGTCCAACGCAGGTCAAAATAGTGGCATGTACAGAGGCAGCAATGTGCAGGTTGAGTCTGAGCCTGTTTTACACGTACTTGCAAGGGATCAGGTGTACACGAGCAAAGACCTTATAGTAGCCAAAGCCCTGGACAGAGATATTCATGCAGAATATCAAGTTCTGTCAAATTTAGAAAGCCTGACAAATTCAGAAAACTTCCTTCTACTCTACTCAACCCTCTCACCATGTAGCAGGTGTGTAATGGAATCAATGTACAATATAGTTGACTTGATAGAAAGTAAAGTAAAGCAGTGGCATGACTCTGCTTTTGTGTTCAAAACAGTCTATGATAGTCCCAGAAATCTTCCGGTTGTTCCCAGAAAGGATTTGGAAAATATACTTGTTGAGCTTGGGAGGGCTCTGGGCGGCCTCGATAAAGTGTATCGCTGTTACAAACCAAGGAATGGTGAATTTGTGTGTCACAGTTGCTCTGTCCAGGGGAGAGTATCAGACATTTGTGTCAATAATGATGCTGTACCTGGAGGAAGTGGAAAAGGCAACAAACATGGAGATAGCAGAGGACAAGGAAGTCTGCAGAGAAGCAACAGCGGCAGCAGTCTGAGTGACAAGAAGTTGAGAGGTGGCAGCAGCAGCAGCAGTGGTAGTAGCAGCAGAAGCAGCAGCAGAAGCAGCAGCAGTGGTAGTAGCAGCAGCAACCTCAAAACAAAGAAAGCAAGATATGGTGACCAAAGTCAAAGCAGAGGTGGGGGAGGAGCAGCCTACGCTAAAACTGATCAGGCTGAACAAGCTTGAGCATCCCTGAATCCAGCAGGAAGAAAACAAGCTTCATGCTTTAAATACATTTTCCTTAATATTTAAAGTTCATCCCACAGGAATAAATGTGGTCTTGACATATTCTAATCTTCTTGTATTTTGTTTGTGGAATATAAAGTCAGATTCTGACTGTATTCAAACCTGAATTAAAGGTAGTTTGTGACCACAGAGTTACTGTAGTTCTGTAATTTAAATTAGGCTAATGTAATCTAATTACAACCTGATTTATGGTCCAACTTGAACTGAACAAGTTTTTCATCTTGTCTGACTCTATGTGCTTGCTTTCTGATCGCTTGTTCTGAATAGAAGTCATCAACTGCATAGTGTCTGTTTTATTTCTTTGGTTCCATTTGAACCCAAATCGACTCCTGCTACTGATCCTACTCCGCAGTCACTTTAAGACTTTACTAGACTATTCAGGAACCTTCTCTCACTTAACAATCAGCTTTAATAATATAATAACACTTTTCTGCTCAAAAACCAACATAATCAGAAATGAAAGCAACCAACCTGCACAAAGCAGGAGGTTTCTGGTTTCAAATAAAGATAATGACATTTACAAGTAATTTTGAGCACCCGTTTAGTGTAAAAATGTGCTCATGCAGCTTTATTAGTGTTATTGCATATTGCCCTAAAGAAGGGATGTCTAAACTTTTCAAGATGTGGGCCAAAATCCATCCATCCATTGTCTGAACCCGCTTTGTCCACGTAGGGTTGCAGCGGTCAACGGGCAATCAGGCGGGGTACACCCTGGACAGAGAGCCAGTCCATCGCAGGGCAACACACACACACACACACCTAAGGACAATTTAGACAGACCAGTTAACCTAACGGTCATGTTTTAGGACTGTGGGAGGAGAGAACCCACGCATGCACAGGGAGAACATGCAAACTTCCCAGGCTGGGAAGCGAACCCAGGACCTTCTTGCTGCAAGGCAACAGCTCTAACCACTGCGCCACTGCGCATCCCGTGGGCCAAAATCATGAAGTTAAAACTCATCAAGGGCCACAAAAATTAAACAAAATGTAAGAATGCAAACCTTATTTCATATTTTTCATTTGTTCTGCTCAAAAAAGACCTAAAATATATATTAGTAAACATTTGAACATAAAATATTAAAATATATGAATTCATGTCCACAACCTCCTGGATAGACTTATCTCCACAATTCTAAAAACCCTAGTGAGGGCCTCGTAAAATCACTCTGAGGGCCGCAAATGGCCCCTGGGCCGCACTTTGGACACACTTGCCCTAAAGGCAATATTTAAATAATGGAGGCCGCTTTTATTAAATTAGCTATTTAGGTCATTATAATCCATTAAACGCCAGATAATGAGGACTTTTACTGATGATGATGGACATTTTGCTCAAACTTATATGTTGCCTCATAAATGAAGTATGCAGACATTTGTAGAGGAGCTTTTTAATGTCCCCTGTATGTTGCCCACATGAGGAAGAAGTCACAGCAGCTTATAATAACAACATGAGGCTGCTGCTGGAAACCCCTGGAGGCTGGGGGGCAAGCCAGATGTCTGTAAATAGGACAATGAGCTACAGATGTTCTTAAGAGAAAATCAAAATGGATTTATAGATGTTGCCATTTTGCGGTACTTTTCCTATCAAAGAAAGAATGAATGTAGCTAAATTAGAGCTCTGTTTGAGTCCATAGGATACAAGACTCCAGTTGGTGCACTATTTTGCTCCAGTCACATTTGATCTCTGCAGGAGGCTATTTTCATGCTTTACACTATTCCAATAGGTCCTTTGTGTTCGATTCCAATCAAGAAAATGTTCACTTCACACACCGTTAAAATCGTGTTTTGTGTTTCTGATGTAGAGGGACTCTCACAGATTAAAGCTGCATAAAAATTAAATACTTATAACCCATATTTATAGTTTCAGTGTCATTATGACTCAAAGCTCAGAACTGAATTCATGCTAATGCTAATCAGAGACTGTAAACTGTATGCTGCAAAACTTAAAAACAACAACAACAACAACAACAGGTCCTTGTACGACAGACTAATGTGAAGACATTGCACACTAAAGAGATGCACCGATTTGCTGAAAGTCCCTCAGCCCCCCACATCTCATCAGATGTGAAAACTACTGTTTACCTTTTTGTCCACAATTTCAGTTAAATATATACTTTACTTACCTGTAAATACTAAATTTAATCTGAAGTTCTGTTCTGAAGTCTCCACAGAAACTTCAATGCTGAATTTCGTAGTACTGCTGAAAACAAAGACCACTACTGAAGCATCTCCGGCAACATTTTTATTGTTCAGATACTGGAAATCTGTGACTGAAAAGCCCAATCTCTGTCGTCACAGAACCTAATGGTTGACTGGTTGGTGCGGTGTGGTGTGAGTGCATCACAAAGCTTTCTTCAAAACACACTCAACAACATTCTAACACTTTTCAGCAACAGGAAAACAGACACCACTGATCGGAAGCCGTCTGAAATAGAAAGCGAAACAAAATTTTTTAAGACAGTGAAAAAGAAAAGATAGGACTTTATTGATCCCACAGCAGGGAGATTTGTTCATTACTACAGCTCAGGATAGATGGCAACAGTACAAGAGTAACCAAGACAGCAAATAAGTATGAAAAGGAAAGACACTAAGTACAGTGGGTACAGAAAGTATTCAGACCCCCGTCAATTTTTCACTCAGGTATATTGCAGTCATTTGCTAAAATCAATTAAATTCATTTTTTCCTCATTAATGTTCACACAGCACACCGTGTTGACAGAAAAACACAGAAATGTAACAATGTCTGCAGATTTACTAAAAAAGACAAACTGAAACATCACAAGGTCCTAAGTATTCAAACCCTTTGCTGTGACACTCATATTTAAATCAGGCGTTTTCCATTTCTTCTGATCGTCCTTGAGATGGTCCTACACCTTCACTGGAGTCCAGCTGTATTTGATTATACTGATTGGAGTTGATTAGGAAAGCCACACGCCTGTCTATATAAGACGTTACAGCTCACAATGCATGTCAGAGCAAATGAGAATCATGAGGTCAAAGGAACTACCCGGGGAGCTCAGAGACAGAATTGTGGAAAAGCACAGATCTGGCCAAGGTTACAAAAAAATAAAAAAATAAATTCATTTAAAAAAAAAACCCCACTGTCTATTTTCTACCAGAAGCTTGTGCAGGAGATAGGTGTAAGATACTATTTTCATGTTCAGCCTGTATGAAAACTCAAAATGAGTGATTATGATCTGAAATTATCATTAAAAAAACGTTTTTTCTGTGAACCGCTCCTTTAACCCTCCCACTGTCTTTATGGGTGACTTTCCTCGCGGGGTCACACCCATTAGGACAGTGGGAGGGTTAAACAACACTTTTTCCAGCATGATGAACCATGCCGGAAGGCAAAAATTGATAGCTTAGTGCCTCCAGGAATGAAACGTTGACAGGGAACTCCCCAGAACCACATCTATATTGTGGTCAGTCATCAAGAGCAGGAATAAAATCCATTGATCATAAACAGCGGGCTGCCATCAGTCATGATTTGGCCCAGAAGTTCCTTGACATCACACCAGGTTACACCACAAAAACAACTTACTGACAGAGCAGCTGTTCCCTCACACAATAAAGTTATTCTCAACGTCACTGTAGTGTTTTAAGTTAAAGCCCATTTAAAAAAAGAAAAAAATATGTTTTGGTTTTAAAAAGAAAAGTGTCTGTGGCAAACTGTCACAGTGGGAGGAACTAAAAAACTGTAATTATACCCCCGATATTTACGGTCAAATGTAGTCACTTCCTCATACCGCCTCCTCCTTTATGGAAGTCTGGTGAGAAAAGCACGCTATGAAATGTGGTCAAACCTGAACTCTGACAATGAAACCGAGCTTGAGCTGCGTTTTCTGACAACACGTTGATTATATAAATGCTGCCATCTCCAGAGAGAATCAAAGCAGTTTGTGTGATTCAGACATGAACATCTGATAGATGAAGCGATGGCTGATGGCACGCTGAGGCCGACTGGTGACGCTCGAGTGGTCGTTACAACACCCCCAAACACAGGTATTATTTAACTACTCTAGTGTTTCATTTAACCAGCTAATCTACTACTTTTATTGACGCTGTGCTATTTTAAAATTTTTTACTTTCATCTTTAAAATTCGAGTAAGACCTTAACAACGGATGGCCATTAAGGTAAAAAATCCCTGGGGACAAACATATTCTTTATCAGATCGTTCAACCTCCAGCAAAATGACAATCACACCAGACTCCCTTTCATCGCTGGTAATGAGTGAAGAAGTAAATGTTTAAAACAATATTTATGAATGACGAAAGATGTGTAACTGTTTGTTACAAATTAGTAAATGAATATTGTCCTCACGGGCTCCTGTAGAAGGAAACATGGCATCTAATATGGTGTTGCCCAGAGACTTAAACCCAGGGACGAAATTTTGATTTCAGAAGTGGGGGGGACACAGCAGGCTTGTGCGGATTTGGGGTGGGGGGTGTTATGTAAAGACCCCTTGACACGTCATGTGCCCATCTCAATAATTTTTCCATCCTCTATATATATATATATATATATATATATCAAAGTTAAAAAATGTACAACTGTATTATTATTTTTATTTATTATCATTATTGAAGTGCAGTTTTGGCTGTTGACAATGGATAGGTCATTGTATTTATTGTTTTGGGTCTTTTTTTATTGTTTTTGGTGCAACATTTTCTAACAGGGAGTGAGATTCCTTTTTTATTTAATTTTTGTTTGTTATTTTTATTCATTTAGAAGTTCTGGTTCTGGACATTTCAATGTTAAATGAAGGTTTATTTGTTGAATTTTAAAGGGTGTACTTGCATTATTATGATATATTAACATTATATTAGTGGTTATTTTGGTCTAGATAATGTTGACAATGATATCGTTTATCATCAACAATTTGTTGGACAAAATATCGTCCAGCAAAATGTGTTACTTTCCCAGGCCTAGTCAAAAGTATAAAAATTATTTATACATAAACGGTCCTCCTGAGATCTGGCCGTTTGTTCATTTGCTGTGTTAGAGGACATGCTGAACTAATGTTTTACACATGATCATCACCCTAACATTTGAGTGTATAAAAACATATTAAATGTTTTTTTCCCTTAAAAGTGTTTAAACAGTTGTTGCATTTCAACACACAAAAAATAAATGGAAAAAATAAGATAAATCTAATGAAAAGTGTACATCTTTGACATTAAGCTTAAAAAATCTGTTGACGATGATGATACTGTTCATTTTTCAGAGCTTTTTAATGTGAAAATATACATTGCAATAGATAAGTTTACAATAAAGTTAAATGATAAAAGTTTTGAAGTTACACTTCTACTACTACTACTAGTAGTAATAATAATTATGATGATAATAGTAATAATAAAAAAAATAATAATTATAATAATACGAATAAATTGTGTCTGAGGAGTCAGTTATGTGGAGGAGATGAGTTTGTAAAAGTTAGTTTTGAGTATGTGTGTGAAGGAGGAGGTGAGTCTGAGCTTAATGCAGGTCTGTCACATGTTCCAACTTACGTTTTGACTTTGAAAGAAGTCTCTTATATCCACTTTTCGTTTTCTTGACATGCTTCCTCCTGGCTGTGCCTAACTACCAAAGACTCACAAATGAACACTTATTCAAATGTTATGTAGTGGAAGCTGAGCTGAGCTCTGATATTACACAGCGTCTAGTTGACGATGTGACTCAGTACCGGTGTTCCCTAGCGGCTCCAAACTAGCAAAACAACGTGAGCACGTTCTGACTGTTTACAACTTGAGTGACAGCAGCAACAGCCAATAATACGTTAGCAAGTATCAGCAGAGCCAATAGATTAGCTTTTGGGCGGGTCTAATAGTAAACCGGTTTCCGTTTCGGTCCTAGTGCTCAACCAAATCCATTTAATGGAGCGTAACATTGTTTTTGGACGGAAAAAAGTGCAGGGGACCAAAACTGCCTTTTGAAAAAGTGGGGGGGACATGTCCCACCCGTCCCCCCCAAAATTACGTCCCAGCTTAAACCCACTTCCATGTATTTTAGATCTGATTTATATGGTTATACGTTACGAAGCGAACAAGTCGGCATCATTTAATTCAAAATAACATTTCGATGGATATTTACAGAGATTAGTGGTAAGAAGAAAATAATTATACATTAAAACAATTTATTTGCTCCCACAACATTTTGAGTAAAGTTAAAAAGTCATGCAAATCAAAGTGATTTAGGAATAATATTAGAATTTATTCCCGATTATTGTGAAAAATGACTACCGTATTTTATGTAGTATACTAATTACAAAGAAAACTGTCAGAAGTCACAATGAAACGCATCACATACAAAGTTGATGGATTGATGATCGGTTTCCTTTTCTTTCCAATTTTATGACCTGTCGTTAAATAGCTGTCCCAATATGTTTACATACCCTGGTGGATTTTTATCTTTTAAATTTTTGGCCATTTTGCAAACACATTGACAGGGTCATTTAGGTATTTCTTTTGTTATGGTGATTTGAAAGGACTCATTTTTTTCACGATAAACGCATCACTGACCATAGAGGAAAATGGTTTTGTTTTTCATTTATAATCTTTGAGAACTGGCCAAACACTTTCACCTGGGTGTGTAAACTTATCAGCACAACTGTATTTGTTTTATTCGTATGTCTTGCTTCTATTTTTAAATGATTGGCCTTTTTTATTATCTTATTATCAGACTTGAATCTGCCCCGAAGGGCTTTGAGTGTCTGTTAGTGCTTGTTTTTGTCTTCTTTAACTTTTGCTTTGCACTATCTTCCATTGGGAAAAGAGAAGGAAACTCATCTGTGGGTTATCCTGTTGTCTAGTAGCTCCGGTTTGGGCCAAGTGAAAACAATAAGTGCAATCAGGGGCTGTGAACGAGCTGTTTCTCCCCTCCCTGAAAACACTCATCAGGTGATCTAGGTCTCAACGATTGCAATCAGCTGCTGCATGAACACCTGTTTCCAACTAGTAGCACAGCATGAGTTTGGTGGCATAACTGAAGCGTCAGCCCTTGTGTCTCAGCCCCTCCGATGTGAAGACACTCCCGGGTAAAGACATACGTGTCTACCTGCGCGTGTCCACAGAGCAGGTACACAGCGCAAACAAACTCGACCCAGACGCTGCCCCATCAACACCTAGCAAAATGTGCCATTATCCTATACCTGTGATCACTGGCTTCAGAGGAAGGTCACACACAGCAAACTGCCTTCACAACCTTCAAAACCTCCGCTCACTAAAATCAACTCCCCCCGAAGACACCCACCTGTCTATGGGACTGTGGAACTGCCAATCGGCTGTAAACAAAGCAGACTTCATTACCGCATATGCAAACCACCTGTCACTTGATGCACTGGCTCTCACTGAGACCTGGATCAAACCATGTGACAATGCTACCCCATCTGCTCTCTCAGTTAACCACACTTTCTCCCACACTTCTCATGCATCTGGCCGAGGTGGTGGAACGGGCATGTTAATTTCCAACAAATGGATATAGAGTCAGTTGCTACCCATCACTAAATACAACTCCTTTGAAGACCATGCCATCCAGGTAACTGTACCGAAAAAATTCTTTTTGGTTGTCATATAGCGCCAACCAGGTCAACTCGTGGACTTTCTTGATGAACTCGACACCCTGCTCTCCTCCATTCCTGAGCACGACTGTCCCACAATGGTCCTTGGAGACATGAATATTCACCTGGACAATCCCAGCTCATCAGGCTTCCTGTCACTAATGATTTGATCTAAAACTAGTACAAAGTCCACCAACCTACAAAGCTGGATAAGCACTTGACCTTATTTTCACCAGAAACTGTGCCATAGACACAATCTCTGTCACACCGCTGCATCTTTCTGATCGTTACTTCATCCATTTCAGCACAACTCTACAAGGGAGGTCCACTGCTTCCTCCCCAATGGTCTCATTCTGCTGCAACCTCCGCAATCTGGCACCCAATCACTTCTCATCCCTTGTTGCCTCCACTCTTCCATTTGCCAGCACATTCTCTGCTTATGAAGTGAATTAAGCCACCGAGTCACTCTGCTCCACACTCTGCTCTTGTCTTAACAACTTGTGATCTTTAGCCACTAGACCTGCTAGATCCTCTCAGTCGCACCCTTGGCTAAATGATACCCTCTGGTCTCTACGCACCAATCTTAGAGCTGCGGAACAGAAATGGCGCAAAACAAAAGATCCTGGTGATCAATTGAAATTTCATGAATTACTGCCCTCATTCTCTGCCAGCATCACTGATGCAAAGAAAGCTTTCTACACTGGCAAAATTCTCAGCTCTACTGACTCTCAGAAACCATTTTCAACATTCAAAACACTGCTCAACCCTCCATCTCCACCTCCTACCAACAATCTATCAGCTGACACCTTTGCCTCATTCTTCACTGACAAAGTGGCAGCTATAAGCAGTTTACTCAACTGGCCACTCCTGAACATTCGCTACCACAAACTTCTTCTAGACCAACCATCTCAGGCCCTGCTGCTTCCTTTTCCTCTTTTTCCCTTCTCACTGAGAACTGTGTGTCCAAGCTTCTCACGTGCAGCCGCCCTACTACATGCCCACTTGACCCCATTCCAACTAAGCTGCTCCAAGCTGTTGCTCCTACAGTAGCTGCAGCTGTCACACATGTGATCAACGCTTCACTGACATCCGGTACATTTCCCACCTCTATCAAGCATGCTCAGGTTAAACCGCTGCTAAAAAACCCATCTCTTCCTCCAAATCATGTGGAGAACTACCAACCTACCTCTCTCCTCCCTTTTCTGTCCAAAATCATTGAAAAGGTGGCTTTCAAGCAGATCACAGAATACCTCTCACAAAACAGTCTGCTTGACCCTTACCAATCTGGGTTCAAAAAGGGCCACTCCACTGAAACTGCTCTGTTAGCAGTGAATGAATCCTTAAAAGAAGCTAGGGTAACTGCCAAATCCTCAGCGCTTATCCTGCTCGACTTATCGGCTGCATTTGACACTGTCAACCATGGCTTCCTTTTGTCCACACTCTCTAGCATGGGCATCACAGAGAAAGCACACGCCTAGTTTGAATCGTACCTTGCAGGACAATCATTCAGTGTATATTGGCTTGGACAATCCTCTACCGTGCACCATCTTGCCACAGGAGTCCCCCAGGGCTCTGTACTAGGAACTCTTCTCTTTGCCATATACACCACCTCACTGGGTGAGATCATTCGATCACATGGCTTCTCCTACCACTGCTATGCAGACGACACCCAGCTCTATCTGTCATTTCCACCGGACGACCACACTGTCTCTGCACGAATATCAAACTGTCTCTCTGACATATCAAAATGGATGAAATCCCACCATCTCCAACTCAACCTCTCTAAAACTGAACTACTTGTCATCCCAGCAAAACTGTTGCCTCTGTTGCTCGTTCATGCCGCTTTGCGCTGTATAACATACAAAAGATCAGACCATACCTAACACAACATGCCACCCAGCTCCTGGTGCAATCTACTGTCATCTCCCGCCTCGATTACTGCAATGCCCTTCTAACTGGTCTTCCAGCCTGTACTGTGAGACCTCTTCAAATGGGGCTTCCTTTTCAATTTTCAAGAAACTCCTGAAGACCCTGCTCTTCAGAGAGAATCTTCTTAACTAGCACCCTCCCTGCACCCGTCCCCGCTCTCTACTGTCCACTCCTTGTTTCCTCCTCTCCATGATTGATGTCAAGTTGTTGTTGTTATTGTTGTTGTTAGCCTCAAGGGCAACATGCCGATTATCACTTGTAAGTCGCTTTGGACAAAAGCGTCTGCTAAATACATAAACATAAACATAAACATTATCTGTATTTTATTTGCTTTTACACTGCCTCTTATTTAATGATCTTGCTACAGTGTGCTTATGTCTCTTCGTCACTTTATCCACAAGTTATTTTTGCACTTTCAACAGCACAAATAAAATAAATAAAAAAGTAAATTAATTTTCCTGTTTCTCATGCAGATTTTAATCCACTTGAAGAAATCCGAATCGTCCTGATAGGAAAAACGGGAAATGGGAAAAGTGCTTCTGGAAACACCATCCTTAATCAAGTTGTGTTCAGGTCTACCCTCTCTCCCACATCTGTGACATCTGAGTGTAGAAAAGCCAGAGGAAAGGTGGATGGATGTAGAGTTGCTGTGATCGACACTCCAGGCATTTATGATACAAAGTACAAAGAGTCTGAGGTCATCAGAAAGCTGAAAGAGTGCATCTCCCTCTCGGCTCCTGGCCCCCACGTTTTTCTGATTGTGGTAAAGCCGGGCAGATTCACAGAGGAGGAGCAGAAGACTGTTGATCTCTTGGCTCAGGTGTTCGGGGAGAAAGCTACAAAGTACTCAATGGTGTTGTTCACTCACGGCGACCAGCTGAAGGGCAAAATGATTGAAGAATATTTTAGCAGAAGTGGAAAGCTCAGCTATTTGATTCAACAATGTAGCTGGAGGTATCACGTCCTCACAAATACGTCTGAAAATAACAACAATAATAACAGTCAAGTGAGTCAGCTGCTGTCAAAGATAAAAAGCATGATCAGTGATAACGGAGGAACATTTTACACAAATTCAATGTTCCAGGAGGCTGAGAAAGCAATCCAAGAGGAAGCAATGAGGAACTTACAAGCCACTGCTGAGGAGAAACGCAGAGAGGAAGAAGAACTGAAGGCCAAGGTGAAGGAAGAGCTGCTGCAGGAGCACATCCAAAAGCTCAACGAAGAGTATATGATGAGATCCAGAGAAAAGGCGGAGAAGAAAAACAAGTTTCTTGAGACTGGTTTGGTTGCGACCGCAGCAGAAGTGGGTGTTGCTATCGGTGCTGCTGCAGCAGCTGCTGCTGGTCCGATTTTCATGGGTGTAGCAGCAGTGGCAGGTGGACTCATTGGGGCTACGGTGGGACTCTTGGCACCGTCTGCAGCAAAAGCTTTGAAAAATAAATGTTCTGTACAATAAACTATCCCCAGGCCACTTTATGTCTCATGGAAATACAAGATACATAAAATCAATGAAAGAAAAACAACAATACACTAAAGCATTTTTGTGTAAAGTAGCCAGCTTGATTGCTGGACCGCTTTCGTCATGTTTATCCTTGTTTGTGTCATTTCAGCTGTTTTATAATATTTCTTCTGTGTAGCTCTTCCACAGATGCCCCGTCTCATGTAGCCTTGGTTCTGCTAGCAGTGCACATTTCTTTGACAGCCATCACTGTTTTTAACGAAGCAGCAGTAAAGCTGACCAACTGGTTTAGTTGACGCAGTGACTAAGAGCAGAATTTTACTCATCAGTCTCCTCCCAGTTCATCATTTTGGTGTCATGCCCTACTTTACTTTCTGGTTCACTGTTACTGCTCTTAGCACAATGTGAAGAAAGCTTTATAGCATGTATTAAAACAATGAAGTGACTTGAAGTGGTGACCTAATTTACATCAAATGCTGATCCAAATAATTTAAATCAAAGAAAAATGAACTTATCAGATTCTTGAATAGAAAAAGCTTCTCAGGTGACACTCACAAATAAAAAATGAATCAGTTTAATTTGTTTTGATGTCAGTATACACCAGATAAATACAAAGAATAAAAAATATTTATATATTTGGATTAGAAACTGAATTAGAGCACTGCGGCTTTCATCAACATTGTGGAACAGTGGACCAAATCTTTCAAATCAAACCAAATTTTATTTATAAGGCACTTTTCAGAAAGTTAATGCAGCTCAAAGGGCCTTATGACCCCATATCACCCTCATTTTCCTCCCGTTATCTCATATTTACCTTTGTGGAGTTTCTGAAAGTGTCACATTAGTTAGGTTAGGTCCAGTGGGGTACTATAGTGCCACAAAAAAGGGGGATAGCAAGTTCCTGTGCAACCAAAGCAAGAGCTGTGACCGTATTCTTGGCTTTATGTCAAATTTGATCCCAGTAGGTGTTGGCTTCCACTGGGGCTACCCCTAGTCCTGAATCCTGTATGTGGTGTTCATGCACCGGATCACAATACAACTACATAGTCATGGAGGGGAAGATGTCTGGTTTGAGAATCTTGACATCTTCTCTTTGCTTTTTGTAGCTGCTATGGGTTTTTGGTGTCTTCAAGCCATGACCTTTAGCATGCACTAGGAAAATTCACAAACAAGTAGGAAGCAGCTGGAACAAAATTCTAGTCCTTCCAAATCTGAGGCCATAGTCCCAGACTGCAAAACAATGGGATGCTCCCTTTGGATTGGAAGTAAGGCTATGCCTGAAGTGGATGAATTCACATATCTAGATGTCTAGATTTTGAGTGAAGGTAGAATGGTGCAGGAAATGGACCCACAAATCGAGGCTTTTTCCTCACACACACACACACACACACACACACACACACACACACACACACACACACACACACACACACACACACACACACACACACACACACACACACACACACACACACACACACATATACACCTATACTTGTATGTGTATATGTATATACACATACATATACATATATACATATATATACACAAATATATGTATATGTGTGTATATATATACATATACATATATATATATATATATATTTAAATATAAATATATATATATTTGTGTGTATATATATGTCTATATGTATATGTATATACACATACATATACATATAGACATATATATGCACACAAATATATGTATATGTATATATATATATATATATATATATATATATACATATATATTTATATATATATATATATATTTAAATATAAATATATATATATATATATATATATATATATATATTTGTGTGTATATATATGTCTATATGTATATGCATATACACATACATATACATATAGACATATATATATATATATATACACACAAATATATGTATATGTGTGTATATATACATATATATTTATATATATATTTAAATATAAATATACATATATATTTGTGTGTATATATATGTATATGTACATATACATGTATAGGTATATATATATATATATATATATATATATATATATATATATATATATATATATATATATATGTTCCATTCCAATTATTTAAAGTATCTGCTTCTCACAAATGATTCCAACAACGTAAAGTGGAAAGAAAGGGTCACATAGGTGAAATAGTCACATCCACTTTCATTTTTTATCTCCCAACATGAATAAATGCAGGTCTGACATTATTCACATGGCAGTTCACCTCTGCCCTCCAACACACCCACCCACAGAGAGGGAGGGAGATACGCTGAGTGGATAACCTCCTTCACGAAGCCTGCAAAACACAAATTGTGTCACTGTGATTCACAACCTCTCAACAACACAGCGAGGAAGCTTTGAAGACCCCTTTTTTCCTCTATTTTTTTTAACATCTGGTCAACGCAGTTCTTTTGTGATCAAACACAATTCCTGCACAAACTAAGGGCGGAACCATTGATCCACGGACAATGGAGTTATCACTAATGCCAGCACAGGTAAGAAATTGAAAGTTATAACACACTGAAGCTTTTACTTGGCAGAGTATTAGTAAATAATACAGATATGAGGATCAAACTCTAATTTCCCTCTGGGATTAATAACGTGTCTTTGATTTTGATTGATTTTGAAAACAACACAAGAGTCAATCCATTCATTTTGATGTAACTCAGGACTGACCTGGCATGAATGTAAAGTGTATTGCTCTTCTTTTTAGGTAGTGAGATGGTTCTTCTGATCATCTTACACTGGACTTTGGTTGCATTTTCACTCACTTTGGGTTCATTACCTGACTAGTTTCAGAAGAAGTCTTTCTTTCAATTGGTTATTTTTGTAAACCATGTGATGCATTGACCCATAAACCCACTCAGGCTTTAAAGGCCCAGAAATTCAAAAGTTAAACCAATGTTGTGTTAGCACAAAACAGACTCTTTGGTCTTTAAATTAAATTGGATATTTAATGACTTTAATGGTTTTCATAGAGCCACTTGCACTTTAATAGTCTGCTAGCACCAATTAAGTCAAGTTCCATTAGTCATCATCACACATGGTGAAATTACATCTCTGCATTTGACCTATCCCCGTGGGGAGCAGTGGCTGCGCCCGGGAACTATTTGGTGGTTTAACCCCCAATCCAACCCCTTAAAGCCGAGTGTCAAGCAGGGAGGCATTGGGTCTTCGGTCAGTCTGGTCTTTGGTATGACTTGACAAGATCTGAACCCCAATCTGCCAGTCCCAGGGTAGACACTCATACCATAAGGTGTGTATGAAGTGATTTCCAAAGTGTATTAGCTGAAAATTGACATACAGGAGAAAATTCAATTTAATTCAGTTCAATTCAAGTTTATTTATATAGCACCAAATCTGTCAGGTTCGGTGGGCTGAGCTGGAGTGGTTATGAGACCCAGGCGCGGAGAGAGTGGTGGATGGAGACTGATATGTGGCAGCGTGGGAAGTTCTCTTCCCGTATGGTTTGTAGAGTTAGTGTCTTAGGTCTTAGAATGGCTTGGCGTCTATCGTTAGATGATGACTGAGTGCCGGCTCCGCTGTGACAGGTCCTTAAATAGGCTCAGCGGGATGACGTCACCGGGAAGCGTCGGTGACAGGCATGCTGGGAACTGGAGTGCAGCGCCAGCCCGGCCCGCAGAGGAGGTTAAGAGGAGGAGTTCATGACAGGACCCCCCCCGCGAGGGACGGCTCCAGAAGGCCCAGGGCGACGAGACCAGAAATCAGCCAACAGGGAAGGATCCAGAAACGAGCGGGCAGGCTCCCAGCTACGTTCCTCCGGACCGTAACCCTGCCAGTCCACCAAATACTGCCATCCACGGCCCCGGCGGCGGGCGTCCAGAATCTTGCGGACGGTGTAGACGGGGTCCCCATCGACATCTCGGGGCGTCAGCACCCGGGCCGGAGGCGGATGGAGAGGAGAAGACACCACCGGCTTGAGCTGTGAGACGTGGAATACCGGGTGCACCTTAAGAGTGGAAGGGAGGCGCAGCCGGTAAGCGACCGGACCGAGGACATCTCGGACTGGGAAGGGCCCCAAAAAGCGAGGCGACAGCTTCCTGGAACCAGCCGGAAACCGGAGGTTTGCGGTAGAGAGCCAAACCCGGTCACCAGGCTGGAACACAGGGCCGGGCCGGTGGCAGCGGCAGTGTTGTCGGGAGTACTCCGTATTAGCCCGGGTGATGGCGGCGCGAGCCCTGATCCAAGCGAGATGGCAGCGGCGGACCATATCCTGAGCCGCCGGAACCTCCACCTCCGGCACCTGATGGTCAAAAAGAGGGGGCTGGTATCCGTAGCAGGTCTCGAAGGGCGATAGACCCGTGGCGGAGGACGTCTGGAGGTTGTGAGAGAGCTCCGCCCATAGGAGGTAACGAGGCCAGGTGGACGGTTGAGACGAGGCGAAGCAGCGTAAGTAACGCCCAAGCTGCTGGTTTGCTCTCTCCATCTGACCATTAGTCTGGGGATGATAGCCTGACGACAGACTGGCAGAAGCGCCCACCAACCGACAGAAAGCCTTCCAGAAACGTGAGATGAACTGAGGCCCTCTGTCAGACACCACGTCCTGGGGGAATCCGTGGAGCCTCACCACATGATCGAGGAGGAGCTCCGCCGTCTTCTTAGCCGTGGGGAGCCCTGCCATAGCCACTAAATGCACAGCCTTCGAAAAGCGGTCGGTGATGGTGAGGATGGTGTCCAGGTGGTCGGCAACGGGAAGCCCCGTGACAAAGTCCACACCTATGTGCGACCACGGCCTTTTAGGCACAGGGAGCGGTTGCAATTCCCCGGCTCCAGGTTGGGTGGTGGACTTAGACCGGGCGCAAGTGTCACATGCAGCGGTGTATTCACGCACGTCCTTTCTCATAGAGGGCCACCACAGGGCCCGGCGGAGGAACTGGAAGGTACGAGCCTGGCCTTGGTGTCCCGCGAGCCGTGAACTATGCCCCCACCTCAAGGCCTCCTGTCGACACACGGCCGGAACGTAAAAGCGGTTAGGAGGCGTCTCTGGGGGCGCCGGGTCCGCCGGGAGAGCCGCCCGGATGGAGGCTTCCAGGGGCCATTGCAGGGCGGCCAAGAACCGTTCGGTCGGGAGGATGGACCTCGGTTCAGGAGGCCTTGGATCCTGGGTGTGTTGACGGGACAGGGCGTCCGCCTTGAGGTTCTTTGAGCCGGGGCGGTAGGCGATGTGAAAGTTATAAGGTTCGAAAAAGAGGGCCCACCGGGCCTGACGAGGGTTGAGTTGGCGAGCGGTCTGAATATGGATGAGGTTCTGATGATCAGTCCAGATTAGAAAAGGAGTGGGGGTACCCAGGAGCCACTGTCGCCACTCCTCCAGGGCCCACTTTATCGCCAACAATTCCCGGTCCCCGATCCCATAGTTCTGCTGGGTAGGAGAGAACTTCCGGGAAAAGAATGCGCAGGGATGGAGTTTGGAGTCCT